ACTTAAGAACATTTGAGGAAACTAAGTTTAGTGTGGTCTAGTATGAGATTCACCAGGATATGTGGAATTACACAAAGGAATGCAGTTCCTCTGGTTATTAAAGTGATTAACTGTTTCTTAATGTCATCTTCACCATTTCATTATTTTATTCCTGGCTTTCCAGAAGAGAATACTGGATATTAAATATGATAACTAAACTAAAAATATTTATTAACAAGCTAAGACAGTAACTTATTTTATACAGTTCACAAGTAAGAGTTTACCAGTCATGCTATTTCATGTTTTGTTTTAAAGACCTGTACACCTGCAGGATCCCTACAGTGCATAAGCAACTAGGTGACTCCAGTTTTACCCTTAAGCCTTGACAACCAACACCAGTGAAAATATTATATCTAATATCAGATACAGACTTAATTGGTACAATGTTTGCCTGACTGGAAAGCACTTTTCTGTCATGGTCCCTGAAACAGTAAATAAAGCTAATTAAAAACAAATGTGGTACAATATAAGTACCTTGAAAAGTTACCAAATGTACCTTAAAGAAAATGAACCAAAGCCTACAGCATTTAGTAAGTACAGTACATCTGTGTACACTTTTCATGAACTTGGAAGTATATATTGTATAAAAAATGTACAGTACAAAGAAATAATGATAAAATGTTTCTAATATACAGTACTACTGTACAGTCATACTTACTGTAACAGCTAATATTGATAAAATAATACTAGGAACTAATGACAAAACTGAGCAACAACTGATTAATGATCACTTACTTACTTAGGCTGCAGCATAAATGTTATCAAATATTAATTTACCAGTTGATAATCTTTTATCCTAAACAAATTTCATCATAATGTTGAACACAACTAAACTAAACTACAGTATAGTCTGCATTTACGCGGTCACTTGAACCCATGGAGGTCCACGTAAAATGAGAAACGCGTAAATGAAATAACACAACATATGGGATTAATTGAAATAGAGACTAGGCCGACTCCCAAACTCCACTTTTTCCGACACAATACGTACCTTGTAGTAAATATAACATCATAGTTTTATGATGGTATTGACACACACATAATATCTAAATAAAAAACTACAAATATAAAGGTGTTTATCACTTATGTTAGTAGAAGAGATGGGTCGGCACACGTGGATGGATGCAGGTTCCGAAGCAGAGGGCAGATTAGTGGCCCTCCGGTGAAACACTATCACTATTTACAGAGGTTTGCCGGGCCTCCTAGACAAACCCCTCAAAGTCCATATCCTCACTGTCACTATCACTGACTTGGGCTGGCTGTGGTTGTGGTGTGTTGCGGGCGAAGAAGTCCGTAATACTACGTTGACGACTAGCATTGATGTTGTCGTGATACATCTGGACATACGGCTCCATAATTTTCGACAGAAGGTTATTAGACACCTCATACCGATGCTTGACTGTGTCTTTGTCAAGGATGAGCTTCATTTTCTCCCCCAACTTGATGACTTCCTTCACATAACCATGGCTTGGTCCAGGTAATTCAAGGTTTCTAGGGGGTGGTGGGGGTCCAGCGGAAGCCATTGTGAGGGGAATAGCGGGCACAAGAGAGAATAGTATACACGGCGGAGGGAGGTAAGGATGAGTGGCCCAATCACAGTCCGATACGTCATATGACGTCAGCGATAACATAAGGGCGACCTAATGCGCACCCTCCAGGCGCCGCTTCCCGCGTAAATGATGGAATGAACCGCCTAGCTTAAATTTTCATTCTGGCAAGGTGCACCGTAAATGACCAAACACGTAAACCAAATCCGCGTAAATGCAGACTATACTGTATTCAGTTACTAACAGAAAAACTAAAGAAAAATCAACATTGATATTACTATTATATATACAGCAATATATTTTTATGCCCTTATGCACACAACTAATTCTATATAAAATATGAATGGTTTACCTGAAAAGGAATTAGCATTCATTGCAACTTTGGCAGCTACACTTTAGTCTGACTCAGACAGAAGGAGAGGACGGTAACATTACAAGTTACATTTATAAGTTCCAACAGCTCTGACCATTTTCAAGGTTCAGAACAACTTTCAACATTCACAGCACATAAAAGAGGAATATTGTAAAACCAATTAAAGTAAATCAAATTTAAAGAAAACAAAATAAATACAGTAGAGTAGTATGCTATCCTGCCAAAACTACAAAAATTCAAAATAACTTGGGGGACCTTTGTCACCAAATCCCAATTGCACCTTTTTTCACTACTGCAATTGTAGCATCATCTCTCTTGTATAATCTAACACTTATGTTATGCTTCTCACAGTGAATACAGTATATCAAATAAAAATATTTTTGTCTAAATGTAAACAAAGTAAATTTTCGGGATAAAGATAACAGACTTCATGCAATGGATACAGGAAATGAAATGCACAGTTGTAAGGTTAAATTCTTGGTGAATTTAATAGAAAAGGAGTTACGAAAAAAAAAATCTAAAATGATGAGAGGAAGTGATATGTATGACTGATTAGAAAAATTAGAGCGCATAAAAGGATACAATAATATATTGGTGCAGGCCCCAGAAAAAATTGTATAAGTGGGAGGTACACTGGCCACAAAAAGTTCTCCAACAGCTAGATTTCAAAATGAGCACTATGGCTCGAAGTCATCTCATAATGGTTGGTATGCCTCGTTGCAAAGCGACTCTCAATATTTTGTAATATTATATGTTGCCCATCTTCACAGTACAGTATTTACAGGTGAAAACAAGTAATTTAATTTGGAATAAACCTTCCTCAGAGAGCAATGTTCAGATTTTCGTTCGTTTGGTCATATTTCCGAGAACTTTTTATGGTGGGTATACATATGCTACATAGTAAAATAGGTTGATTTTGCATAGTAAACTTGTATATATATATATATATATATATATATATATATATATATATATATATATATATATATATATATATATATATATATATATATATATATATATATATATATATATATATATATATATATATATATATATATATATATATATATATATATATATATATATATATATATATATATATATATAATATATATATATATATATATATATATATATATATATATATATATATATATATATATATATATATATATATATATATATATATATATATATATATATATATATATATATATCCCTGTTAGCCACAACAATTGGTACAGAGCACTAATGGGGATGAGAGATTTCTGAGTAACCAGACAACTTTCCCAAACTCAGAAAAATTCCTTATCCCAGAAATCTTTTCCAGTTACTGGAAAAAGTTTCTGGGTGTCTAAGCTATGTATCTTGCATGGATAGACACTACCCCACATCCCCAGAAGATTTCTGGGTGCTAGGGAACGTTTTACGAGAGCCTAAACTGCCAGAGTCCGTCAAAGCAGTTATAATCAAGTTAGAAACTCCATTTCTTTCCTAGAATAATGCAGAATAGTTTATCTAAAAGTTTGGTTAAATAAATATATTTAAAAACTAAACATCTCTAAGATATGGGCACGAATGAAGCCGTGTGTTACAGCAAAAACTACTATTTTCCACTCCCGTGGAACTGTGGGTCTCATGTAACTGACCTGACCTGACACAATGTCAGGTGGAGGTAGGGTGGGAATTAGCAGTTTCATATTACTGACTTTCTGATGGGATGTCAGGTCACCCATTGTTGGGTGGGAGATGAGTGGGTCTCATGACCTGAAGATGTCTTGAATATGAGATTGTGGTAAATGTAAGTAAAAATGAGCAATGTTGTATTATTTCAACATTATGTTACATAACATTTTAAAATATGGAGTGAGAAAGCAGAAAGGTGTGGGTGATAAGAGAGAGGGAGTGGTAACATGTACCAGTGTTGCCAAGTGCTCCTCAACAGCTGATCTGTAACTCTCCGCCACGCAGTCACACACACGTGCAAATTTGTCATACAATAAGACCCTCACTCGTGGATGCTTGCTGTCTTAATTCCCATGAGAGAGAGAGAGAGGTGGGTTGTGTTGGAGGGTGTGTGTGGTGTTGGGGGTGTGTGGGTGATGTTGGAGGTAGGCAAACCTCGGGGGTCACAGTCAGTTTTCTCTCGGTTGGCTTCCCTTCCTACCTCACTCTAGCATCTGCTAATTGTGATAGGGAGATATATTTGATACCATAATGATCCTAAATAAATACTCTACAAGACATTTCCAATAAGATATCCTTAAGCAAAATATTTTGACATCAAATAATGATGGGAATTCCATTCTTTAAAAAAAAAAAGACATAAAAGAAGTTGATACTGGAGTCAATAATAGCAGTTTTAATTAAATTAAATACCATTTTTACAAAAATAATCCTGAATACTTTATCTAAAAATTTGGTTAAATAAATATATTAAAAAAAATCAATATGATACGGGCGTGAATGGCGCTGTGTATTTCAGCAAAGACCGTGGTATTTTCCACCAGTCTAGACGACACATCTCTCAGCTGTATTTATTTACGCAAACACCACTGTACTGTACACGTACAATATTGTTCATACTGTAAACAAAATAATGAATAGTACTGTACTGTCTATACAGTACTGTACTCCAGCAGATCCTGTCATCTTTAGCCCTGAGTAGGTAGACACTTCACTCAGCTGACTGTAATACATAACTGTAATCACATCTTAACACTTGTGATGGAGGTTGGGTGGGGGATTATTGGGTCATGTTACTAACCTGACCTGATGCAATGTCAGGTCACCTATTGTTGAATGAGGAATTAGTGAGTCCCATGATTCTGAAGGTGTCTTGAATAAAGACGAAAGCTAAGGTATTTTGGAGGCGTGGGGCTCTTAACAAAAAAGTGTATAAACTTTTATTCACATCTGCACTGATTATGTAAAGGAAATGAAATTTGTATCATTGCACATATGAAACTACGTTTCTGATGACGTAATTTTTTACCAATGTATTGTATATGAAGGGTACAGTTATTAATAAGCACAGATCAGTACAGTAATGTATCTTTATTAATTAATGAATAACAAGTAAAGAATATTGTATAATGAATGAGGCAGGAGTTGATGACAAGCACTGAGAGCCGACCCTTTGTGGGGTGGAGAGGTGCAGTCACATTTACCCTCCAATGGATGCTTCCCCTTCTCCCTTCCTCACAGCAAGCTTTCTAAACTTCTAATGGGGTTAGAGAGATGAATTTGATACCATAATGATCCTGAATAAATTCTCTCTGAGATGTTTCCAATAAGATATCCTTAAACAAAATATTTCAACATGATATAATGATGGGGCTTCCATTCATTTATTAAAAAAAAAGGGGGAAAGAAACATTGACACCGGAGTGAATAAAATCAGTTCTAAATAAGTTAGATACCATTTTTTTACCCCAATAATCCTGAATAATTTATCTAAAAGCTTAACTAAAAAAAAAAAAATCTATATGATACAGGTGTGAATGGAGCGGTGTGTTTCAGCAGAGACCGTGGCATTTTCCATAAATCTAGACGACACATCTCACAGGAGCTGCATTTATTTACATAAACACCACTGTACTGTACACATACAATACTGTTCATACCGTAAACAAAATACATAATGTATACGACTGTACTACTATACTGTACTCGCCAGCAGATCCTGTCATCTTGAGCCGAGAGTAGGCAGACACTTCACTCAGCTGACTGTAATATGTTACTGTCTTCACACCTTAACACTTGTGATGGAGGATAGGTGGGAGATTCGGGGGTTATGTTACTGACTTGACCTGATGCAATATCAGGTCACCCATTGTTGGGATGGGGGATTAGTGGGTCTTATGACCTGAAGATGTTTTGTATAAAGATGAAAGGTAATGTGCTCCAATGTTTCCCACTTCCTGAATGTACAGTATAATATATGTAACTGATCACTTTTTACATTCTTAACACTGCTTTAACATTATTCTTGGCTAATTTTGTTCTGGTACAGTAATGTATAGCAGTGTACAACACAAATTGTACACAAAAACAGCAGCTAGTAAGGGAACAACCTACTATTGTACACTGGCAGCAAACTATGAACTAAGTGACCCAAACACCTAGGTCACCCACGCACCTGGCACATGGGGATGGGTTGTAGCATGGTGTAATCTTTCAGAAAGCCCTGAAAATTTATTACCTGACCCAAAAATAACAATTTGTTGAGATATCCCAGAAATTTTCAGAAAATAAAAAATAAATAAAAAATTATAATATATATATATATATACATATATATATATATATATATATATATATATATATTCACACAGTTTATAATTTCAATATTCATAATCCTGAATTAAATGTTTTCGTGTCTTGATTAGCAATAAAATATAGGACACACACCTATGGGTAGCCAGAAGCATTGCAATACAAGCTAACACAACATTATATCTAAGACAAAATGCACAGAAAAGAAAACAGTTATAAGCACGAAATTGCCAAACAAAAACAATGGAATGAAATTCCATCTCCAACAATTATATGAAAACTATCAAGTGGAGAAATTTATTGTAATGCCGAAGTACAACATTAAGAAGCAAAAAATCGTGTACAGTATATGCCAAATTAAAAAATATATATAGTTTTTGTTATTTAGGAAGCAAAACTGCATAAAGAAGTCCTCCACATTTTTTTCTTGATTCTAATAAAGGGAAAGAATGATAAAATGTACCTTCATAAAGTTCTTCAAATCATCTTTCTATACTGTACTGTACAAGAGGTTAGTCAAGCTGACAAACCCTCATATGCCTTCATTTTTAGTCTCATCTTAGACATATTTCTTCACTCTACTTAAGTCTTTACATATTCTTTAGCTTCAATTCTGCCGACAGATACTCAACACTGGATTTGCAATCTACTAAAAAAAATCTAATTTACCCCAAAATTCTATAATTGTACACAAGTTTCTGCAATACATACGGAGACGACAGACATAACACTGGATTGTCATCAACAGGAATGGTAAAGCATATAAAAATATTTTTAAATCAAATACCATAAGTTAATTACAGGGTACTGTAAACATAATAACATATTTGAAAGGATATACACTTTAAAGTGGTGACTACAGCATTTCATGGTTAACTAGTTCATACAAAATCAGCATGTGAAGATTATTACAAATTTTGATCACCACTGTATCTAAAACATTAAATTCTATGTATGATATAGGCAAAATAGGTCATAAAATTACAATGACAACTTTTCTCTCAGGCAATCAAAAAATAATAAATAACCTCAGAATCAACTTTTCCACCCAGATCTATATTCTACTTCCCTAGCACCAACACCCACATCTAAGGGAGTTGGGAAGATACACAGCAATAACACAGCTTCAGTTTCTTGAGTATAATATTCTACAATCAAAGCTCACATTAGTAATTATCTACAATCTCTCGTTTAAGTTTTGAAGCTTTATGCAAGCAGGTACCGGAATGGGTTGACCTGGGCTTTGTTCAGATGTCCTCCCTGTCACCTATGATATCACTTGGATTACTGCACAAAACAAACTTCAAGAGAAGTAACAAAGTGATCTGACCACATTTATTAATATCCTGATCATCCAATCCTCAGTTCACTATAAGCTGTGTTATATTTTACAATAGAGTTACTGGTATGAAGAACAATTCCTACTCATGTAACGAACTATTTATCAGTTATATTACAGAAACACACCTATCTTCAGTCAAGGATATAATAACCTGAGAGACAGATAATGAACCCTCTTGAAGGCCTGTTGTACATGCTGGGCAATACCAAGATGTTTCATATATAATGAACATACAAGACATATTATATAATAAGGTTCAAGAATAAATAAAATAGCTAAGACAAAGGTTAAGCATAGGGAGACTGTCTTAAACAGCACCAGGTTAGGACAAGGCCACCTGTGGCCCACGCAAGGCACTGGTGATACTTGGATCTTCTACTGCCAATATAATCTTCAGCTGATTTAATTGAGAGTACTGAACAAAGGCATCAAAAGCCTGTGAATCCAGATCTTACTCTTTATCTTTATTTTCATGGGTCCAGTGTTACAGCAGGAGCACCCAGACAAATCCTGCAATACCCAGTGGGGTCACAATGGACAACACCCTTCTCATATTAGACCTAAGGGGTATTCGAACCCAGTTCACACTAGTGATAGGCAAGCATACTGCTGTACCAATGACATACATTCAAAAGTGCTTGCTTTTCTTAAAGAGCCAGGGTAGTTATTTTACAATTAACAACTGCAAAGACATTTGAGATATTACATACATTTGCATACACTGGCATGATTCTAACTACAGTACTGAAGTAAGCACTCTAAGTTAAATGTAGTTTTTTATAACATCTGCAAGCCACATACAGTTAACAATTTCTCTTTGTTTTAATCATCTGCTTCCAAACTTCTATATCTTTAAAAAATTTCCATCCTTCAATATATTTACATGATTTTCAATAGTAAATAGTATATGGGCATAATAACAACTGATTGCATACTGTTGAAACTGTATATACAATTAATATTTGTCTTAAAGTCTTAGCGAGTCATAACTTACTGCAGGGAAGAGCAATATGAAGGTAGCAGCTCATGTTAAAAGAATAATGGTACTAATGCTATTATTCTTCCTAGTTTTTAAAGAAAACTTTTTTCCAATGAGTTTATATTTGGGGTAAGGTAGCTGAACAACTAGACATGTGAAAGAATAAGTAAAAAAAAAAGGATTCAAACGCATTTTAAAAGTACTGTATTGGATTTTAGATTAATGATGCATTTTATAAGCATTAGCAGCTGATGGCATTAATACAGTAGATGAATTTAGCTCAACTAAATAACTTACTTTGGCACACAAATGTTGAATATTAAGTAAAATTTTCCAATGCACAAATGAGCAGTTGAATAAAGGTGAAATACGGTACATACTTTCAAAATAATTACTCAAGAATAAAATCTTTATTAAATCATTAAAGTATTAATTTAGAGCAAATATGAAGATGGAAGCGAACATCAGTTCTGAAGGAGTAAAATCACTAGCAACATGAAGTTTACCTATTCTCAATCTGTCCCAATGAAAGATCTTGTTACAAAGCCTAGCAAAATATCAACAGTCTATAATTTCCTGAAGCATCCACATACAAGTTAACTGACTTCACTCCTAGCCTAGATATATTTATTTGTTTATATAGCCTTTTTTATGACAATAAAACATTCTTCAACGCCACACAAAGTTTTCCCCAAATGAAAAGCACCAAATCAATTTCTCGTGCTATAGTACCTATAATTTAGTGGAATTTTATGTACAGTATTCAACAAAAATATAAAGGTAACTCAAGAAGCGATCATTTAAGAGCTCACTGCTATCTTCCCAACTTCCTAATGGGAAGAACATTAAGACTACTGTTTTTGCATTAGTACAGTCTTTAAGTGATCTAGGGCATTGGAGAGAAGTATTCCTTCTGTGCTCTTGCCATCAACTGTCAGTCGACTTGATGCCTGCAACAAAAATATTACTGTAAATCTTTAAATAAACACCTTCATCTTATCTTTAAGTGCTAATATACAGTATAGTGTATACAAAATTTTTATGTGGGCAGGTGAGTGTGAAGTATATCTACTAGTCTTGACCCATCCCCTTTTTTGTATGCAGTTGGACTGACCTTCAGCGCTGGTGTTAGGTTCTTTGAAAAGAGATGGCTAATTGTTTCATTATAGTTCCTGGAGGCTACCTTTAAGCCTAATTATCTGTAAGCCAGAAGTAGCTCTTCCACAATTGACTGATTGAAAACACATAGTGTACATAATGTATATACAATTACTATACACATGGGACCACTTATCCAGCATGCTTGGGACTTGGGGGTTGTCAGAGTTTTTTTTTTATCCAGAATTTGGAGCATTGGGCATAAAATTTACAAAATGTATGGTAAACCTTCTGTAACTTGCTGTGAAGACTGTTCACATCACTAGATTCACCACCTAAAAGTAGTTTTAACTGTACACTTTAACATTAAAACTTAAAATTATAGGCAAATATGTAAACATCAACAGACAAAGCAAATAAATACTGTAGCATTAATGGAATAAAAAAAGAGAACAAATTGATACAAGTTAATGTTCAAACTGTGCCACGGACCAACCTCCACACAACTGACACACAGCTTCACGGTGGAAGCCCGTAGTAGATACTTAAAACTTAAGAACCAAGATAATTCTTTATTTTTATTTTTTTTGCACTTTCTGTATGTAGGATTGTGTGAATGTAACCGAGAATATTTTTTTTTTTTTTTACATACAGTATACTGTATCTACTTGAAATTACGAGTTAAAAATATAACCAAAACATAGAGCTCACAGGTGGGGTGGGGTTAGAAATATCCCTGATCGGCCAAGGAATTACTTGGCACTCATTTTAAAAGGGACTTATTGGAGAGTATCAGTAAAGTCAGAAATCCGTAACCCGAGTCGTCCATAACCCCAAAATGTCTGAACAGAGTTATGTTCCTACACTCATTACACTTACCCCCAAAAAAGGCATACAAAGTATTTGGCGCTGATTTTGGTATGAGTTAACGCATTATTACACTACATTATCTATTCAACCAGTTAAATACAACTTTTAACATTATCCCATCTATCCAACCATCAGCTGGTGTAGCCACAGACTCACACTATCCCAGTTAAGTGGTGGTGTAAGGTCTCAGATTATACCATCCCATAAACCATAAGTTACTGTACCCTGGATCTCTCTGGGATCTCTCACAATCTACCCTCACCTCCCAAAATCTACCCTCACATAATGTTGCTGAATTTAATATCCAGTTCTTGGTGTAAATACTGGGAAATTTCATTAGCTTTTTCTTGATGACAAAGACTGAACTGCAAGTACAGTATTAAAATGATCAGCAGTGTTGGTGAGAGAGGGCATGATCAGAGTTTGTCTGCAGAGTAAATGATGCTGGACACACAGCACACTTAAAGGACTGGCCAGATTTGACATATACCCAAAAAGTTAAGCAGTAGCCATAATTTCTGTATGTGTAGCCCACATGCCAGTAGTCTTAACACTGCTGCTAAGATAGTCAGTGGTGTCTTTAAAACAGGTAGTCCTTCAATTTCTCACTAATGGGACCAATCATATGTTGGACGACCTTGTCACAGAGAGCTAAATGGGAGTTATCTAATTCTCTCAGAAAGTGGTTGACAGCACAAAAGTAACAGTCCCATCACCATTGGTGTTGTAGACTCGCCTTGTTGCATGAACTTCCCCAAGTATTGTAGACAGGCTTTTCTACCCTTAGCCTAAGGTCAGCAGTCAATTTGAACCTAGCCACAGCAAGAATTGATTTGAACATTCTGGTTGACTTTCTGCTTTATTTTACTTTAGGTTTAATACAGCAAATCAAGCTATCCTTAACATAAATGACAACTTCATCTCCTATTTTATTTGCATTTCTATCACTGTCAAATTTGTTTTAAATCTTGTGTTTTAATATTTTAAATCATTTAAATAAAAATTTACCCAACACTAACTAATACAGATATAATTTCATTCATTTTCTCCATGCACATTTAGTGAGTTTTAAATATACATTTTAATAATAAAATATATAATAGGGTATGTGGAGGAATGCTGTACCTGGTACTTGACTAGGAGACAAACATGGTGACCATGGAGGGAGCGGCCATATAAGGAAGCTGTTTGGTCAACACTCTCCACTACTGCTAAACTTCCTCCTCGGGTCACTTCCTCTAGTACCTAATAAAACAAAGTGAGTAAAAAAGGACACATGGGTATAAGCAATTGTTTCATTTTGGTACTGGTCATTTTGAACAAAAACAGTGCAGAAGGATTCCATCCCAACCCTTTGTTAGGAGATTTTCTTAATAATTCCCCAAATGATACATTACAACATTCTTTTATATATAAAATGGATTATTTCATTGGAACACTTCAATACTAATGCACCCTGAATAACAACTCCAGGATGTCATTAATAACTTACTGTACAACCAAGTGTGTTTCCATAGTACATGTACTCAAAATTTTGGTGACCTTCAACCTACGAGATCATCTCAATACGACTTTTTACTCTAATGCAGTAGTGGCTAATTGATTAGCTATGCATTGGTTTTTGTTCTCTCTATTATCTCTGAGGATAAACGACTAAAAAAGGGAATAAACATTTATTATAACATAAGTGTTCTAAAAACAATATTATTACCTCTGGGAAAGACCATGGGCACTCTGGTATTGTGAAGGAAGACCTTGCAGAAAGCTGACCAGAACTTAGCAAGTCTGTAAAAGTTGCTCGACTTGCTGTCTTGCCAGAGAGGAAAGTTGTTACGGGAAATTCAAGACGCAATGATAGATCACTACTACTCGTCCCATCCTGAAAGTTAAACATTATCAAATACAGCCCATGAGAAACTTTTTGAAATATTATTTATACCATCAAAGTATCATTGTAATAAAGGTGGTTACAATATTGAACTAGTACCCCTGACTTCGGATCATGTCTGATGAGGTAACATCCAGATGACAACTAGTGCAGCTAACATCAAAATAGGACCAGAACCTCTGTGAAGTGGCCATTTTATAATACTACCTGTACTGGCAACATCATTAAGCAAAAAGAAAATAAACAAACTCCCTGTATTCAACCTTTCCATCCACACTAAAGGTCACTTCTGTAATGGAAAATCAAAATCTTTTCAAGAAAATCTGACTCATCTTCATATATTGAGAAATAATAAGACAGTGATTAATTACATACAGTAAATGTGAATTAACCAGATAACAGTAAATTACCACCTGAACATTACTTGACCATTTCATACTACCAATATCACAACTCTACATTACCAGCAGAATATTACAAACCTAGTATAATTATCGCTTACTTAAATGGGTACCATAACATCCTAAGTTCACAAATGTGAATCTATAAATTTATTCTATATTTTCTAAAACCACTGTCTGGAGAATTAAATAGAATCTCTCATAGTTACTATGTTATTGTCCATATAAATATATTAATAAACTTAAATTGTGTATAGTGAAGGGGTTCACAACCCCAGGGTCATGACCACAAATGGGGTTGCAAGCTTCATTAAAATGGGCAGCATGTAGCTCATGGGGTCATCTGGGCCTTTGCAATGATCACAAGTAATTTTCTTGGGTCAGGAGTCAAGAAAAAATAAGAGTAATTAAGGCAGTCACTTTTCTTAGCTCAGGTCATGGGAAAACGTGGTCAGTGGCTTTACATGAGGCACCTAAAGTAGAACTACTCTGACCCAAGCTTGACCTGATGACATGTTTCACACCTCTAGTCCGACACTCATGCCCTTTAATAATGCTCAAGGTGTGGCTTATTTACTCTCCAAATAGCAGACTTTCAGGCTAACAACAAAGCAAGGATGAATTTTGACATTTATAATGACAATGCAAAGTTTTAGATTAGCTTATTAATGAGACACAGTGCAGTTAAAAGTCAAGGTATGAAGCTACTTGTACATATGTCGCCGAATTAAAATAAAGGCTTAAAAGAATAAAATCAAATAATGTAAGGAAAAAACATAAGTCATAAATAACATAGAACTTTCATAAAAAACATTTAAATGTCAAAAGATAAATTCAAAGAAAAACAGTAAGGCCCCCCTCCCCCTCCAGCACTGGGAAAGGTGCTTACAATGAAGATCTCTAGACTGGGTACTCCAAGGAGAGGTGTCGAACAGTCAATGGGACAAGGCTTTCATCACCATGGGGAGGGGGGGACCTCTCCATTAAAAATCCATGAGTCAGCCATTTGTAGCCAGTGTGGAGGCAGGTCAAGGCTGTCTCCTGGCGGCACGACAGACCCTGATACACCCAAGTACTAAATGCAAGGTCCCCATTAAAGACAATACAGGGTACAGTATATATATTTTAATAATAAATAAGGTAATATATTTGATAAAAATATATTTTTTATTTTTTTACAAACTGTCATTATACCATTGCATATAAGGAGATGTGTTCCTGATGAAGTATGTAAAGGGGCACAGGTATTAATAGCCACACATTAGTACAATAACATACTCGCACCTTTACTAATTAATGAATAACAAACAAACAATATTGTATCATCAATGACAATCGTTTGATTAATAGTACTGTAGTGACAATTGTAGCTTGAGAAATGGTGGGTGGGTGGGGAGGGAGGGAGGAGGGAGGGAGGGGAGGGGGAGGGAGGGAGGGAGGGAGGGGAGGGAGGGAGGGAGGGAGGAGGGAGGCAGGCAGGGGGAGCGAGGGGAGGCAGGCAGGAGGGAGCGAGGGGAGGCAGGCAGGGAGGGAGCGAGGGGAGGCAGGCGGGGAGGAGCGAGGGGAGGCAGGCGGGGAGGGAGCGAGGGGAGGAGGCGGGAGGGAGCGAGGGGAGGCAGGCGGGAGGGAGCGAGGGGAGGGAGGCAGGGAGGCGGGAGGGAGCGGGCGGGAGGCAGGCGGAGCGGGAGGCAGGATGAGGCAGGCAGGGAGGCGGGAGGGAGCGAGGGAGGGAGGCAGGCGGGAGGGAGCGAGGGAGGCAGGCGGGAGGGAGCGAGGGAGGGAGGCAGGCGGGAGGGAGCGAGGGAGGCAGGCGGGAGGGAGCGAGGGAGGGAGGCAGGCGGGAGGGAGCGAGGGATTTTATTAAGTACCTGAATGTAAGAAAGAGATCCCCTGAGCTTGTCTGGAATGGTGTCATCCTCAGCAGTAAAAGATAACTGGGACTCCTTTGATTCTCCAGGATCTAAAGTCCAAGGAAGATTCACCAGTTCTGACTGTGGGTCCTGCAAAATTTAACAAGAAAAAAATAAGAATTAATATTTTTGCTTTACATTACAAAAACCATATATGAGGCATTGCACTGAAACATAAAGATGGTTGCCAAAGAATCACTTAGTACTGGGTTGCAACTTAAATTTCCAGTACTCAAACAAATTTTTACCTAACTGTAACATTTTTCCAGAAGGACAACAGTTACTGAACTCTACCAAAGGTCTTTGTTTACACTAGTTATATTATGGGAGCCCCTACACTTACCAACACCTTTCAAAATAATCAAATATCTTTCGGTGTCAACTACGAGTTTCTTACAAACAAACTTAACTAGGGCAGTTACTTGTAATATTTATTGTTAAATTGTTTAAAAATGCAGTTATGGTATATTCAAATAATGCACCTGAATTTTCCTATAGGGAAAGAAAGACATAAATCTCTCTCATTATGTTAATTGCAGTTGTAAGGTATTATTTTATATTGTTTTTTCAGATATATATATATATATCTCACTATGTGAGATATATATATTCCTGTGGACACCAGAACTAGCCAATAAAACCTGACATAAAAAGAAGTTATACTAGGGTTAAAACGTGGTGAACTTACATTTCGTATCATCTTAAGGGCACTAGAATCAGGCAGCATTAGCTGTAGCTTGCTAATACTTTTAGAAGAGTGATTGGTAAATTTTATGCATACCAGTACTTCACTCATAACTCCATCCATGGCTGCAGTTGAGTAATCCTGAAATATAAAATGAGTTACTTAAAGTTATACAAATACAGTTGTGTACTTATCACCACTAAATAAATACTATTGTAGTGTATTTATAACCACTTAATAAATACTATTGTAGTGTATTTATCACCACTTAATAAATACTATTGTAGTGTATTTATCACCACTAATAAGTAATATTAAAGTGTACAGTATTATGCATCTACATATACCCTGGTTTATTCATTAATCATTTGTTTATTCATTAATCATTTGTCTAAGTGTACAAGTTGCCAAATTGAGCCATTATATGACACTCAAAGGTCGTAAATAACATTTTTAGGAAGGAAGTTATCTTCATATGAAATACTATAGGTACAGTGTTTTATAGTGACCCCTGTTGTAAGCTGGTCTGCTGAAAGCTCTCACACAAATGCATCTTGAGTAAATAACCTTCTGATACAGCTATATCCTTTTATTTTTAAGTCATACTGTATTACAAATTGCATACAGTATTGTATTTTTTCTCTATTTCCGAACATGTTATATTAATCATGATGAACCATAAACCATAAGAGGTTAATATGAGAATATAATACTGAATCAAAAAATAAATAAACCTGATGCAACACTGGATTAGCCCCAGCCTACACACACACACACAAACGCGCACACACATAATGGTTGCCCCTCGTGTAACGAGGATGGTCGGCCCAAGGGCCACCTAGGTGATAATTTCTTTTAAGGTGTAGAAGCTGTCGCCAACACAACAACCACACCCTAAGTTAACGAGCTGCATGACCCAGTGTCAAGGAATAGTCCAAGAAGACTGGACAACTCGCCAACTGCGTTGTTTATTTCCATTTCCGACCCAAAGTTTGTCAAAAGCTCCTGGACTAAAAGCTTGAAAGAGGATACTGCTATAACTTACCAGTCTTAGGAAAGAATCCTCAGCTAATAGTCTGTTGTTTGGTTGCACCGTGGGGATTACTGGTTTATCCTCCAAGTCCTGTGTGACAGTTCCATTTGTCTCTTCATACTCCTCTCTATTACGAATTGATGAATCTTCTACTTTTTCTCTTTTTCTACTCTTCTTTTTTTCTGACTTATCTTTGCCTTTTTCCTTTTTAGCTTTCTTTTCTTTTTTCGTTTTAGTTTTCTTTGATTTACTCTGTAAAAATTAACAAATTATTCAAAAACATGGTTAGGAGAAGAAACAATTCAATTTAGCATTATACCCTGTATATCAAACTGAAAGTGTCCTTAAACCTACCTCATCTCTGCCTGAAGGATAGGAGGAGGGTGAAGCTGTTCTTTCTGTTCCATCTACTATGGGTTCTGAAGGTGCCTGTGATGACGAATCATCCTTAGAGAGCCAGAAATCTAAGTCATCTGTAGGCTAGAAGATAGAGAAAATAAACTTCAAACACAAGTGAGGATAAAAACTAAGAATGTGAGCTCCTCGTACTTGGAGGAAGATTAATTACATAATTTTTGCATTTCTTAAATAGTCTTTTATTTTAGGGTTTATACATCTATTATTTCAAGACAATTTATCTGCTGATGCACAAAAACATGTAAAACAGCTGCAAAGTTGTAAGAGTAATGAGGATTACATGGATAGCATAACAAACACAAATCGCCATGTTGTGGTAAGTGACAGCGAGTGACGTTGATAATGATGATGATGATGACATTGATGATAGTGATTACAAAGTCACTGCTAGTGATCCTGAACAGGGAGATGATAGTGATAAGAGGCAATGAAGTCGACACCCCTCCTACTCCCCAAAGTGAGTGTGTGCTGACTGACGTAGGCAGGCAGGAGGCCATGGGAGGAGGAGGGTACGCCAAGCCACAGCACTTCACCCATTACCTGAACCTTTTGTGTGGACTGGCAGCAACGATTTCAACTCTAATGACTACAACTCTGATGATACAAACTATGGTGTTCGTGACAGAGTGTCGGCAACAGAAGAAAGTAGTGAATTTGATTTTTTCAAAGAATATATGGATGAAGAATTGGTGCAACTTATAGTAGACTAATCCAACAATGAGATATGTTATGACACAAACTTGTCAGTCCCCATGCCACATCTCACAAGTGGTATGACACAACTGTTGAAGAAAAATATGGGGCTAGAGGACAAATCAGATGCACAGATAGCCACAACTGAGCCTTTAAGAAAAAAGTCTGAAATGATACAAATATTTATTTTTCCATCTTCAGTACTCAACATGGTTTAACTCAATTCCTACATGTTGTACAAAGAGAAGATTAAGAAAAAGATTACCCTGTGTACATATAGTGTTAACTTGATCAACCAAATATTAGAGAAATATGGCACCGAGACAAGAAATTTTATGAGACTTCATATTGCCAATGCACCAGACCATTTGCAGGGAGCAGCATACATCTTGAGACATTATCAGAGGCCCAGCCCACCTGCTCCTGGATGTCCCCATACCCAAAGAACCTGCCATGTGTGCTACAATACAAACTAAGGAGAAGAAGAGGACCAAGACCAAGTTTAGCTGTGCCGAGTGTGAAACTAGACTCTGTGTTTAGTGCTTTGTGGAGTACTACACAATGCAAAATTCTAATGTACTGAGGCAATACCCACCTGCCCCTGGGTGACCTCATGCCCAGAGAACCTTCTGATGTGATGTGCTCTTCATTTTTTTCTTATTTTAAAATTTTATACTGTATTACATTTTCTTTATTTCTAAGCCTCATTAGAGTATTGTAATGATTTATTCACAACTTTTATAGTTCCATTACATGTAATAATGGTAACATGTCATCGTACAGGTCACCTCATCCCCTTTCCCAGTGAGTCAAGCTACTGCCAAACAGAATTATGACCTAACATTATACGAGAAATGGTGTCAAAATATTTTCAACATTAAACTGAATCAACATTAACACTGAACGAGGGACACCTGTACTGTATTACTTCCAGGTTTATTAAGATTAAGTTTTTTTTGGGGGAGCAACTTAGTCCACCCTCTAAAACAGACTTAAGAGGCATTGTTGTTGATTTCATGATTATGAATTTAATGTTAAATTTTATAAAAATTACCCCACACAACTCCATTTAATTGGTCACTAAAACCCGACTGTAACAATAAGTATATATCACATACCTTCTCTTTATTCTTAGCATCTGTGATTCCATTGATGTGATTAGCTGCAACTGGAGTTTCATCACTAATGGCTGCAACCTTGACCGAGTCCATTAAATCTAGAATAAGATTCTCCTCATTTCCAGTGAACTTCTTTTTCACTTTCTTTTGTTCTTTCTTAACCTTTTTAGTTTTTTCTTTTTTCTCCTTTTTATCTTTCTTGTTCTTTGATTTCTTCTTAGTTGGAGTTTGTGATGGTTGGAGGTTTGCTTCATTGCTTTCCTCTGGTGTTTTTTGGGAGTGTACTTCATAGTGTGTTCTTGTCGGAAGAACCTCATTGGGAGCTAAAGGTCTGCATGAGAAAAAAATATATTCAGTAAAATCAGTTTGCCCAAATACAATGTACAATGATTTTCAGAAGAATTTCATGAAATTTCATACAAATGGGTTAAATGGAAGGATGCTGTGAATGTGCCAAGATGGTTCTATGACTAGCAGATATAAAATTTTCTGAAATATGGTGAATCCTCAAAAGTCTGGACCCCATACGACCGGATTTCAGATAGCTCGGACCCTCTCTGGGATAGAAACAGTTGTCTGAACCCTTAATATCTGTTGATTAAGCGGGTTGTGATTGTTGGGGTTGCGAATAGCGAGGTATTCCTGTGTATTATTTTACAACCAAAGGAATTTCATCTTCCAAAATTCATTGATTCAAATTACAGAAACATCTTAGCACATGCACAGCATCCATCCACTTATCCCAGTTATACCATATTACATGAAATTCTTCTGAAAACTTTTGGATAAACTAATTTTACAAAAGTAATTACAGAAACAAATGAAGGCAGGTATAGTATATAAAATGGCAGTATCTCCCTGCCCAAAAATAAGTAAATAAAAATTATATATATGTATATATAACTCACTCATCAAGATCAATATCCAGAGCTCTGTGAGGATCATCTTCCGGTCGATCGTCTACTTCATTATCATCAGAGAAGTGAGCCCCTTCTGGCATCTCCCCAACATCAGTATTTACTACGTGCGCCTGCCGTATTTCCTGGTGGAGAAATATCATGTCTGAAATATTGAAACTCCAGTCCTTATCTAACACTAATGAAAGATAAAATTTCAAGTAGAAAAGACATAGTGTATTATTTAATGATTCACTATCCTTTTATACATTAACTGTTGTTCATACCTCATCACTACTGGATGTTAAGGGTCCCTTCCGTTTACTGCGTTTCTTCTGTTTCTTGTGCCGCTTCTTACTGCCATCCTGCCAGCCATCAACCAACTGGTACTTGTCCAATGATGTCATACCTGTTGTAAGTGAAGGACACAAACTCTTATAGAAATTCCTGCAGCAGTGTACAGATATTGCAGTAAATATATGTACAGGAGGTCCCCGACTTACGAATGCCCGCACACATGAACAAGGTTAAACTTGAAATTTACAGTATTTTATTTACCCGATGACTTATTTTTTACTTTCATTTACTGTATTTTGTCATTCTATTTCTTCTTTTGTCTTAAATTAAGTGATTTTAGATGTATATAAGGACTTAGGCTATGATATAGAGGGATTTTAAACATTGTTTTGTAAGTACGGTATGCATATAGCATATCTTCCGACTTACATCCAAATCTGACTTACGAATGCCCCCAGGAACGGAACCTCTGTTTATGACGGGGTTAGGTTCCTGAAAACCTCATCACAGGTCGAAATATTGTAAACCAGGATCATTATAACATGGACTTCAATGGATTAGGTTCTTGGCCAGTCAAACACCCACGTGTATCACCACATCATTAAGAACATGTCTCATCGTCATCACGTGTCCCCATCGAGGTTAAGGGTACAGTACTCCAAGATGGAATGGAGATATCAACCCGAGTCCCACACAGGCTTTGGGGAGTCTGAAGAGTGGGAACTGGAGGTGCAGTCTTAAAGATAATGAGCAAAATGCTTGCCAGATATTTTCAGTTACACAGCTCACTTCATTTATAATATATATATAAAAGATAATAATGATGAAGACTCAATTCTTTCATGAAAAACAAAAGAAATGTTGCAATGGAGGTGTGGTAAGGGATTAGTGGGTCTCATGTTACTGACCTGGGCCTGGATGCACTAACATATTTAAGACACTTAAGTCTCTGCTGGTGCTCATAACTCTGTTAGCACACTTAAGTCATCTGTCTTAGTGAAGACCATATGCATAAAGCAATTTAGATGCACTAGAGTCTAGGATCTTGGAAACTTAACTTAAGTTCACTCCTGAGTTGTCTTAAGCGAACAAACTAGTCCTGCGTTCATTAGGGCAACACTGTTTTTAGTCGGAGTGTGCGATCTTTTGTGATTTTTTATCATGTAGTTCATCAGAAAGGTATTTTAAATGCAATCTACAAAAAACTATAATTTTGTTATTTTTCATAAAATAAAATTTGTACGAGTGGTGCTTCGTAACTCAGCCAACTTATTTTGTTTACACCAAGTCAGGAGGGCAGCGGTCACACACCACACTCCTCCTATACCTCTCGATACATCTCTATGTGCGAAGAAAGAATGTCAGAGATATAATGAAAGAAATATTAAAAAAGAAAGAACAGAATATGAATGACTGAAAGTAGAAAAAGAAATAATAAATATAATTACAGAATAAAGTAGAGAGATTATACAAATAAATATAAAATTAAGGACTAAATAGACCTCAGTTGTGATTTTGATGATTCACAGCTAATATTGTGCAGTTGTAGCATTGTGGTGAATGTGGTCTCCCATGTGTGTTTCAAGTGCAGTGCTATTGTGTCATAGCATCCGCTCTGCGATTGGCTGAAGGAACAGAAAAATATTTGCAACGTGCACTCCGACTGGTTGATGGATGTCAGCTGACGTGGCAGAATACATTCTTTAGCCAAGACTGTCTTGGGCTGCGACAATCGTAAGTTTGTTTTCAGGAGGCGAACTAAAGTTTTCAATTTGCCCTCACTTAAGATTTTTGAGCTAAGTGAGCTATTGCGGCAGACTTAAGTCAGACGTCCGTGCATTCCTGCCCAGACCTGGTCAATGCCAGGTGGAGGTAGGGAGAGGGATTAGTGCTCTCATGCAATGTCACGTTACCCATTGTCAGGGTGGGGATTAGTGTGTCTCATGACCTGAAGCTGTCTTGAATAAAGACGAAGTTAAGAAGCAAATATATTTATAGCTCGGAAAAGTCTATAAACTTTTATTCACAACATCTGCTCTGTGTTAGAGAGTTGAATTTGGTATCATTGCTATAAGGAGATGCATTCCTGGTGACGTTATTTTTTTACCTATATGATGTACACACACTCCCATGTTTACGGAAAGGTTCTGTTTCTGGACCCTAACCATAAGCCGAATTTTCTGTAAACCAAAAATGACCGACCCTTCCATAAGGTAAATATGTATTGTACCCTGTACTGAATCACAGACGCCGTCTTACAAAGGGATGCGCTCGGCTGCCTTACGCATAATCCTCCGCAAATAGTGTTGTTACGCCGTACTAGTTACCTTCTGTAATAACAAACTCTTGCGCAACCTGGAAATTTTTATAATAGAAATTATGGGAAGCATTCTGCAACCTTAAATTTCTGTAAACTGAGTGTTCTGTTCCCCAAGGAGTGTCTGTATACTGTACAGTATTGTATATGAAGGGTACAGGTATTAATAAACACAGATTATTACAGTAATGTATCTTGACTCATATATTAATAACAGATAAACAATATTTTATCATGAATAAGTTATACACTGTCTGCATAACTTAGCCTGTATGTATCACAAATTCGAATGACCTTACATCCGGCGATGTGGAGTGGTGTAAGGGAGGAGGCAGCAGCTGGCCCCCTCAGTGCATCCTGAACAGCAAGTGGGAGTGTATTACATTGTGTCACTCCACGATTTGGCCCCCTAATTCCGTGTGTATTGCCTGCTTGTACTGTATTTGTGTGTGTACAGTAGTGCACCAAGATGATTGGGACAAACCTGACGACGGAGCAAAAAGCTCGAATTCTAGCCTGGAAGACGGAAAATGTGGGTCTTAGCGAGACAGTGAGACCAACAGGTATTTAGTCAGTTCTAATTAAGCTTGAAACTCTTTTTTTTAATAAAAAAATCCTGAATAATTTATCTACAAGTTTGGTTAAATATATATATTTAAAAACAAAAAATCTATATATTGGCGTGCAAGGCGCCTCGTGAATGGGGCTGTGTGTGTCACAGTGGAATTTTCAACCCTGTACTGGGGAAAGTTTTCCGGTCTAAAAGACACATCTATACAGACACAAGAGCTGTATTTATTTCTGCAAACACCACCAAACACATACAATACAGTATAAATAAACAAAATAATGTCTATTACTACTGTCATCTTGACCCTACAGTAGGAATATACTGTCCAATCTTCTGAATGTAATACGTAACTGTAATCACTTTTTACGTCTTCAACACTTGAGATGGAGGTGTGGTAGGAAATTAATTACCAGTAGTCTCAAGTTACTGACCTGACCTGACCTGATGCAATGTCAGGGCTAACCATTGTATCTAAACTTTTCTCTCATTTGCTGTGGAGATGGGGTGGGGGATTAGTGGTCTCATATTACTGATCTTCTGATACTATGTCGGGTCACTCATTGCCGGGGTGGGGGATCAGAGCGAAAACACTTTATAGTCAGAACAAAAGCACTTCACAGGAACTAAAACAGAGTACAACGTGAACTTTAGTGATGTACCCTCACCTTAACCCTCTCAGCCTCGCACGGGCGTCAAACATAAAAGGCGAAAAAACTTACGTTCAGCCTCGAGACGCCAATGAGCTATATTTTTTATTAACTCAAAAACTATTCTGTGAAACTTACTGAACTTTGGACGCCATTTGACAGACATCGTTTTCTTTTTGTGGGCCTCATCACCTTCCCCGAGACGGTCTTGGTCATTGTGTGCATGGCAGTGCAGCATGACGCCAGTATCGCTCTGGCCATTAGAGCAAGAGGAGGGTGCGTCGCTTGGCCTTTTAAGCATTCCATGAGTTTTTATGTTATACTATTTTGGCCCTGTATAGTACATATCAATGAAAACCATAATACAAGGAAAATGTGAATGGAAATCAAAATGTTACTAAACATTTTTCTACTTTTCAATTTCTACTTGAAAAAAGTGGCTTAAATTTCAAGAATTTTCAATTTTTTATGGTTTCATACAATTTTAGACCCCATTACAATTAACAAAACAATTCCATGACAGTGAAATGAGCTCCGAGGATGAGCGTAAGTTTTCATGGTATGTGTCTCAGGCTCCAAGATTGAGACGGTTAAGGTATATAAAATAAATAAATATAAAAACACTGATGATGACCGATAAACATTAAACTCCATTTCTTAATCACATGTAACCAAGAAACAACAATGCCTGGTCTGTAGTTCACCAAATGGCCACGAGGTGGCATTCAAGTACATGGCACCTCAGCTGACAACTGAAGGGAGTGATGCTTTCCATATTCCGAGTTGGCAGGATGGTGAATATCGTTAAAGTGGATTTGTTTACTTTGCAAATAAAGAGGTCCCTTGGTTAACGAGCACAATCCGTTCTAGAAGGTTGCTCGTAAACCGAAAAACTCGTTAACCGAAACCATTGTTTCAATGGGTTTTTGGGTAATTTGTTCCAGCTCATCGAAAATTGCCTAAATTCAATAAAAAAGGTAGAAAAGTACACTTACTTTGAGGTGTGTATGTAGAAGGCTCCTGGATGATGATGATGGGAATTAGAATGGGGGTGGAGGAGAAGGGAGAAGAGAAGGCATTGGGGTGGAAGAGAAGTCACCCCATGGCGCCATTTCACCCATAAAATTTTAGTTCTCTTGGTGTAATTCAAGATTATTTTCTTTAAATCAACACTGCATTGCATTATATGTTGTCAATATGTAAAATAAATTTCAAAATGACCAATAATTTGCTTGCAAACACAGAAAAAAGCATTTAGTTGAAGAGAGTCTCAAGCAAGATGTAGCCTCCACTGAAAAGACACAAAGACTGACGCCTGTATGCTGTGTTGGCAGGCTGGATGGCGTGCCACAAACTAGTGACCCTACCTTCAATTATGTTCAATAATTGTTAAAATGACTAAAAAATTTAATATTAAACTTTCAAAATGATTGAATAGTATAAACTTCTTGATATTTACTAAAAGGGTAAGGAATTTAAGCCCTAGAACCGATTACTGTATTGACAGACTAATACTACAGCTGGTGGACCGCCAAATGCAAGCTAAAACATGTGGAGGTCGGCTCGCAAGAAACTCGTTAATCGAGGGATTGCTCGTTAACCGAAGTTAAGAATCTCATGGAAGGTAACTCGTTAACCGAGGCGCTAGTTAAACGAGGGACCACTGTAGGGGAATGGTCTTAATATATCAGCATCATTAAGGTAAATTATCGTAGATGGGGAGACATAAATAGAGGTTTACCTGTACTGTACTGTACTTGTTAGACTAAAGAAAAGAGAAAGGAGGAGGAGATAATAAATGTCCATCAAAACATCGGTACAAAAAGTGTAATTGAAAACTGAAAATAAACTCAATTTTGTTAGTAAATCAACACATCACCATTGATGCAAAAATGGATGTACTTTGCATAGTCTTAACTTAGGTAACCATGTAAGGTTGTATAGACATATGAATGGACAGGTAAATATCAATTTGCCCCCATCTATACATATTGAGATGTCATGTGTGGGACATCTGATTTCATATCTCAACATCCAGAATACTGTACACTATGTCAAGTTAAGTTTGATCACATTAACATGAATAGCATGAAACTTATTGCAAGAAACCAATTTTCCTGCTCAGGTCATTGTGACTTTAACATTATTGTTTATCCTATAAATGAACTGAGTAATAAACCTAATAACCAAACTTTGTGGCACATATTATTTTGCTTAATGGAACTTTCAGATAGAGTACGTATAAGCAAATAACTTTAAAAGAATGCCATAATACCAGAAAATACTATACCATATGCTGTTGAGTATACTCCCAGATAGCTACTAAAATGTGGTGGGTAAACATAAAATCAAACAAAAAATATGTTGGTACAGTACACATTAAATAGAAGCCTGATGACCGGTGGAAAATTGTGAAGGCTGGTGGGTGGGTGATTTGTGCCTACTGGAACTGTTATGTTCTTGTCGTCGTGCACCAGGGGATTCTTACTCTGTGATTTGACCTTTTATTATTTTCTTTACCACAAGATAATTATTTATTTTTTAATGATCCAAAGATAAAACTATTGGGGAATTTTAACCAAGGTTAGTAACAAACAGTTTGAACTACTGTCAATATCTTGTGGCTGTTCAAAATTCATGTGTGAAGTTTGCAAAAAAATTTTCATGATTTTTCTTCTATAAAAATATTCAGAGCTGGTAGGACAAGTCATAGAATAATGTGAATGGAGAGGATATAAAGATTTTGGGGGGAAACGTAGACATGTATGTTTAAAAGTTCTGCAGCTGTAACCTTGTCAGATATAATTATCAAGAAACCAAAATCAGTATAACTAACCTGGTATTTTTAAGGAAACATTTAGGTCAATTGCTGCAACAGGAATTTCATCTATTTGTATACTATTATGATTAGGTCTTGGAGATGTCTGAGCTGAAGACTTGACATAGTAAGGATTGCTGGCTTGTTCTGCTCTTCTGGCATCTCGAAGCTGAAAATATAATAAATTTCAGTAAATTTGTATCATGGTATTTCTTCCACCGTGTAAGTTAACTCAGGCATAATTTCCTGCTATATTAGTCACTTGACATTATATTACACTTTATCGTTTCTTTCTCCCTCACTCTAATAAAAAAAAATTCAATAATTGACAAATTTAAAAATAAGGACAAAATTTTTTCTCAGATGACATGTCCACCTTTAGCCAAAATTTCAAGGGACCGAGGCAGACGGACTGCACGATTCACCCACGGTAAACAAAGAGACGCGCTCAGTCATAAATTAGCGTCACCCATGATAGCATCTCCCTCCACTGATTGCGTTTTATTGCCATTTAGACGTCCTGAACTTTATTTTGAAACTTATTTAACATTGCCAGTGCAGTAGACCCTTGCCATTCGCGAGTTTGCAATTCGCGGTTTCAACGATTCGCAGTAAGCATAGGGTAGCTAGCTTGCAAGCCTTTTCCTGCAGCACAACGAGTCACCCCACGCAGCATCTCTTGTTGTACTCTCAAAACATTAGTGTTTCTGTGTGAAATGGCACCTAAAAGACTGCCTAGTGTCAGTGCTAGTGATGCTAGTGGAGTGACATGTAAAAGGCAGAAGTCAGTGAGGACCCTGACAAAGAGTTTTATTATTAGACAAGTTGAAAGAGGGAATGAGTGCTGCCATGGCTGGTCGGTTGTTTGGTATTGTATAGGTGTATGGTATTGGTATACAGTAGTGCACTAGGGTAGTATAAGTTGCTATTCGCGGTTTTGTCAATTCGCGCCATTTCTTGGAACCTATCCCTCACGAATGGCAAGGGTTGGTCCCTGTTACTAGGGGAAAGTACTGCGATTATGTTAAACTTTCATTCGGCTTTTATTTACTGGTTTAGCAACACATAATTTTTTGGTTGTACAATACTGTATCATGAATGACAGTCATAATAGAATGAGAGAGGCAGAATGTCAGTGAGATGCAGTGGGAGGGAGGGAGGGAGGAAGGAAGGTGGTGGTGAGGAGATGATGTGTCAGTAGGTTTGATAACATTGGCTGCAGGACTGCCAGACACAATTGAACATATGATGTCTACCCACAAAATTGAGTGAAAATATAAATGAACAACATCGTATTCCTTCAACAATATGTTACATAAATTTTAAATTATGGAGTGATAAGAACAAATGAACAATGTTCCGTGTTGTACTGTACAATATTGTACTATCATGAATGACCGTCATAGAATGAGTGAGAGAGGCAGTGTCAGTGAGAGCAGTAGGTGGGAGGGAGGGAGGGAGGTGAATTTTTATGATTTAGGTGGTGATGATAGAGGTAGTGGTGGTGATGGTGGTGAGAAAGCAGAAAGGTGGGTGACTTACCTTTCTTAATAGTAGAACATTCTTTTATTAATTGGCAAATGGGTAGTAAAAACTTGCTTTCTTTATAGTGTGGATTCTTCAAAGAGTTAATGTTCAATGGGGACTTACTGTAATACATAATTCTGGAAATAATGCGCATTTCCTGGCACTTTTTCCAGTACACTAAACCCCCGATATAATGGATTAATTAGGGGAGAAGGGAGGTCCGTTAAAGCCGAAAGTCCATTATATCTGGATCCGATATAATAATGGACTCTATCCATTATATACCAATGTAGTCACAAGTAACAATGTGGGGTTACTTCACCACCACCACCATACCACCAGGTGACATATGAGGACTTCAAACTACATCAGATGAGGAACAAGAACTTTCTCTATCACCCCATGTGAGCTGAAGGGTCTACCAGGACCATGAGATGGGTGTGATAGCCATGTGAACAGTGTGACCACCCAGAGGTATGATTTGAATTGAATTGAAACAGTTTATTTAGCAGTCAGAACTGCCCTTAGCACTTAGGTATGAAGGTCTTGGGAAGTACTGTACTTTGCTGGCTCCACTATCAAGTCATAAGATAGTTTATGACACTGACTCCCCCAATACCAGATCTGTAGTTAATTTGTATGCTCACTCCACGTTTCTTCTCTTTTTGTACTGAAAGCTTTTGTTAATCAAGTGGCACATTTCCCAATTAAGTAACTTTTTATCTCTTTAGTGTATATTTACAACCTTTTGGCTGCCATGTTCTTTCAATAAACCATTAAATATTATTAATCATTATTATTATTATTATTATACGCAAAACAAAAAGGAAACCCAAAACAAACCTTCTGAAGTTCCTCTTCTGAGGGTTCATACTTCTCCTTTTTGTGCCTTGATGAACTTTCTGCCTTAACAAATATCTCCTTCTTAAAAGCATCATCTTCCTCCTCTTCACTTTCTGAAGGTGGATCATTGATCCAAACATCTAAGTCAAGGCTGAGAAAGGAAACAACATTAATAATAATTAAAAACACTACAAAGACAACAATAAGAGTGTAAATCATATACCTGTATACAGTGGTCCCTCGGTTAACGAGCACGATCCGCTCCAGCAGGTTGCTCGTTAACCGAAAACTCGTTAACCGAAACCATTGTTTCAATGGGTTTTTGGGTAATTGGTTCCAGCTCACCGAAAATTGCCTAAATTCAGCAAAAAAGGTAGAAAAGTACACTTACTTTGAGGTGTGTATGTAGAAGGCTCCTGGATGATGATGATGATGATGGGAATTAGAATGGGGGTGGAGGAGAAGGGAGAAGAGAAGGCATTGGGGTGGAAGAGAAGTCATCCCATGGTGCCATTTCACCCATAAAATTTTAGTTCTCTTGGTGTAATTCAAGATTATTTTCTTTAAATCAACACTGCACTGCATTATATATTGTCAACATGTAAAATAAATTTCAAAATGACTAATAATTTGCTTGCAAACACACAGAAAAGCATTTAGTTGAAGAGAGTCTCAAGCAAGATGTTACCTCCACTGAAAAGAGAGAGAGACTAACGCCTGTCTGGTGTGTTAACAGGCTGGATGGCGCGCCAGAAACTAGTTTCTTTACCTTCACTTATGTTCAATAATTGTTAAAATGACTAAAAAAGTTAATATTACACTTTTAAAATTATTGAATAGTATAAACTTCTTGATATTTACTAAAATAGTAAGGAATTTAAGCCCTAAAACCAATTACTGTATTGGCGGACTAATACTACAGTTGGTGGACCGCCAAATGCAAGCGAAAACATGTTGAGGTCGGCTCGTAAAAAACTCGTTAATCGAGGGATTGCTCGTTAACCGAAGTTAAGAATCTTATGGAAGGTAATCGTTAACCAAAGTCTCGTTAACAGAGGCGCTCGTTAACCAAGGGATCACTGTACCCCAATTTGGTACCCAATAACCTTGAACTCTGACACCCAACCTGCAAAATTTGATCATAAGAGAACAAAATTTTGAATACTGTGATATACCTGTATACTTGGTCCAAATCTGTTCACCCAGCTTCAAATAGAGCGCACAAGAAATGTTTTTTAAATTCTTACACACATGATGCAGTGACCTTGAGGTCTAATGCATTACCCCAAAAAAAATTATCTGGCAAAACTTTATATTTAGAAACTTTGGTACAAGTTTAATTAATAACCCAGTTATGCGAACTCTGTAAACAAGATTGGAGCAAATGAGTGCATACATGCAAAAACAGAAGCACACCAGAACATCCCAGCTTTGCAATGAGAATATAAAAATGAGACAGCTGGGACTGGCTAGTCTAGTAAGTGAATATCAAGTACTTGATACAAACATATTTCATGATTAATTCAAAGAGAAGTCAGTGTATACCAGCAAAAATGAGAAGAAAAATGTCCCTAAAGGTTTAGTTTTCAATAAGAATTACTTGAGCGACATTGTGAATGATAGTTATCAGAGGTATGTGAAATTTCATTACGGCTTTTAAAGAATGATGGCACTCAAATTTTCTATATTAATTGAAAAGTTTGGTCTGTAACTGTAGTATAACTCGAACACCCTAAGAATAGTGGATCTGAGTGATGTGAGCTGGTGAAGATACAGCAAGATAGGTAAAATGGAAGAACAAACAGAGGAAATGCAAGTGAGAAGTTGAAATAATTTAAAGATGTGTAGAAAGAGGAGTGTGTCTACAGGTGATGTATGACCTCTCCCAGTGTATATCCATCAGCAAGGGATAAATTTCTGGATAAGTTGGTGGTCATCATAAAAAGTTGGCAATTGTATCTAACACCAAAAGTTTCAAAATTGAAGATATAAGTTAAAAGTAAATGGTATATGGAATTTAGATAAAAATAGCCAGAAATTATCCCTCTCCCAGGCCAGAGGTGCAGCTAATACAGGCAGTGTGCAGAGCCATGTCAGCCTGGAGTGACACATTCCCTCTTTATATTATTCAAACTCATTCACCCCAATTTGGCCCACTGAGAAGGATGCCTCTGAAACATCATCAGCAGTTTCGGGTGTTCACTTTTGTGGATTCTTCATGATTTCCAGTTATATGTGAAGGGACGTAGCGAGGAGGTGGCAGAAGGGGCGTGTGTTGGGGTGGTAGGATGATATGTGATGGTGAGTGTTGGGGTTGTGGTAATGATGTGTGTGATAGTGTGTCTGGCGACTTATCTAGTAAGGAATATTTCAGTTTAAAAACGTGCACCTCCCACACACCTCTACAATAAATTTATCCTCTTTGAGAGCTCGGACAACCGCAAGTCTCCCCAAAAGTTCTAAAAGCTTCATTATGATTCTTGTAGGTTTCTGATTCACAATGTGTGTATGTATGCATGTGGCCTCCCAGGTTGTGTGGTATGAGATGAAGTGGATGAATAGTGGATATGGTGTGGATGAGTAATGTAGATTATCTGGATGCTTAGTAGAGTTGATGTGGATGTTCAGTGGAAATGACATGGTCTTTAATACTACACGTTTCATTAAATAAGTTTTTAAGGGTTCAATAATTATCAAACAAAGAGAATCAATATACGGATGAAAACTGTAGATCCTCCACCCTCAACAACTGTCAACATGAGCGGTGCGTCGTTTGCCAATCACGTGGATACTGCAGCCGTACCACGTGTTAGTCCCGAGATGTGTAAACATATTACTAATTATGAATATTATGTAAATAAGAGAAATAATTAGTTAAGCGTGTAGAAATAATGAACTGTTTATGGAAAACTAAAGATAATCAAAAATAAACTTAAAGTTATGATGATGCATAATTACAATGAGATCAGTGATGGATGTAATTTACTTGACCATGACTACAATTTCACATCACCTCCACTAAACATCCACATCAATCCACTAAACATCCACATCAATCCACTCAACATCCACATCATATATACTAAACATCCCATCTTATCCTCTGCCACCCACCACCAACTCATGTCTCCCATGATGCCAACTATTGTTAAGTACTGTACATGCATTTTTTACATATCTGTACCGTTTACGATGGATTTGCGTAAAAAAAAGTTTCAATTTTCTTTTGTGCCAAAATACGTTCGCATGTGGTGTGAGCCGAGGCCTACATAGCCCGGAGCCCATGGGTTAATATAATTTCTTCCAACTTCTCCTCATGTCATTCTTGGCCCTGCCCCTGGCTCCCTCCCCACCCTCTACATTTAGACTTAAAGCATCTCTTGACCCAACTGGTCCCATTTGCTCTCCCCACACACCCAAACCATTTCAGCCTACCTCTACACAAAATTTGGCCAATAAACAGTTTGGAAATAACTCTTACCCATCAGGTAGAGGCACTTTCTTCTGGGCTTTGGGAGCCACTGGATTTAGTTCACCCGTCATCAGGTGTATCAGGTCTACTCCAACTTTATCTCCATTTTTGTGGCATTTTTGAACGTACGTCACGACGTGGACAATGCAAGATGCACGTTCTTGTACCTCCAGGTCACCAGATGACACAAACACAGGCAACCGCTCCAACAGCAGCGTTGTTACCTGGTCATAATTGAAGAAAACATATATTAGAGAATCATGTGAAACAAATCAACAAAGGACAAAAATTATTACTGAATTACATTCTATCACATCTACATTACATAACTATAGAGCTCAAAGGCTGTGAATCTGCCTGGACTCATACTGAGTGCAATATAGAGTATTATTACCTACACCTTACGACTTACTGTATAGTATTGTTAGAACAAACCATGTGTGTAATCAAACCCAAAACCATAAAGATTATATGGGGTTTACATAAGTTATTTTGTATACTTTCACTTATCATGTTATCACAGTTAATATGTCAACTTGTAATGGTCAACAGTAAAAGTACTCGTTAGGAAACAAATGTTACTTGGATGGATGACGATAGCCTCTGGACACTGTGACTACATACTTTTTTTAGGGTGATAGTAAAGGAATGACATCAACAGCAAAGCTCTAAAATATTAAACTGGAAAATAATTAAAAATGTGGAGACTTTAGTTTTAAGTTAAACTGAAGATTAAAGTATTGTAGCTGAAGTAAGAACACCAGTACCGGTAAAAATGAATGAGAAGCAGAGACACAGCTAGAAGACAATAAATGAAGAAAATAGAACTGCAGTCAAGATATTAATAGATTTTTCCCCAAACATTTCAACAACTGATTATCTCCAAACTGAATGAATTTATAAGCTGGTTTGGATATGTAAACATCTGGGGTCGCCTCACTTCCTTGCAACACTCCAATGATAAACTCCTAACCCAAACCAACTGAAGCACTGATTCAACACTATATCTTACTACATTACAATTACAGTACAAGTTTGTGATTTCGACGATTCGCGGTAAGCAGATGGTGGCTATGGTGGCTAGCTTGTGAGCCTTTTCCTGCAGCACAATGAGTCACCCCACGCAGCACCTCGTGTTGTACTCTCAAAACTTTAGTGTTTCTGTGTGAAATGGCCCCTAAAAGACTGCCTAGTGTCAATGCTAGTGGAGTGACATGTAAAAGGCAGAAGTCAGTGATGACCCTGACAAAGAAAGTTTTATTATTAGATCAGTTAAAAGAGGGGATGAGTGCTGCTGCGGCTGGTCGGTTGTTCGGTATAGGTATACAGCAGTGCACTAAGGTAGTATAAGTTGCTATTTATGGTTTTGCCAATTTGCGCTATTTCTTGGAACCTATCCCCCGCGAATGGCAAGGGTCTACTGTACTACAAAAACATTAACACTAACAGTAATCATTGAAAATCTTTAATCATAACAACTAGAATAAAACAATTGTATGACAATATTTACATATTCATAATCTCTAACATGGTGAGACAAAGATAGCCATTAAAGAAGCCTACAAAATATCATTGCTCTTAGCAGGGTAATTTTTTAGTAATTCTACGAACAATTTGGGAGAAGCACAAAAATATGGACAGACAAATGCAATTCCGTACATATACAATAAGGATACAAAATCAAAGATATACTGTACCTCCTCTATCATTTCTGAATCATCTTCCTCCTCTGCTGTTGCAATAATGTGAGCATACAGCTTGAGCATGTTGTGGACATATATTGCTTGGATATGTCCTGGAAGAGACACCACCTTCCCTCTCACCATGGATTCCAGGGTAGCTTTGGGGTTAGCCAACAGTCTGTAATAAATCATTCATCTGACTGATGTATCGTGTTTTGAAGGATATTATCAGAGGGTAAAATTATGTAGCTGCTGGCGTGTAATGAGCAAATAATGTACACATAACTTCCAGTTCAATAACTCACAATGTGTCTTAAAAAGAAGTCTGTGAAAATCTAATTGAAAACATATTTATCTACTAAATTTGCTAAGCACGTCCTTCCCCATAAATCACTCAACACTACGCACACACATTGCTGCTTCCTTGATATCATCCCCCTCCTTTTTAGGGCCACCACCTCATCCAAATATTTTCTTCTTGGTCATTTTCTCTCCCTCCTACCTTTCACCTGAATTACTCTCTCTTTCCACAAATCTTAAATTTATCATTGCTGCTACAATATCCGTACCACCTGAGCAAGCCCTGATCCACCCTGCCTCATATTCCCTTTACTTCACATCGCCTCCTTACTTTTACATTTCTTGTTCTCTGTATCCTATTCATCCCACTCACGGCTCTCATACTAATCATTTCTGCCATTTGCTCCCTTCTCTTACATCCAGTGTCCATACAGACAGAGTACCCAATTATGTAACTCTATATTTTCAGCCTTCTGGCTGCCAAGCTCTTTCAATAAACCATTAATTATTATTATTATTATTATTTACCTCCATATTCCAACAAGATAAAATTTTCTAACTGATTCTGTGCCCTCAGTAACTAAATGTTCCTAATGATTTTTAAAATTCCCGTTAAGCCTTCGTTTAGTAAGGTTAGCATAAAGATGTAATCTGCATATTTGTCTAAATGCAAAATTCAACTTCAAGTTTTGATCAATTACTCTACTGTTTCTTCTGATAGTTCACTTCCAGTGTGGAGGCCAATCTTAGCCATTAACAAGTTTCCTCCTTCCCCCTGACAAGTTAATTCCCTTGAAATTAACTTATTTCCTGAACTACAGTACAGTATTTGCATTTATACATTATAATAAGAGAAATAAACTATCTTTATGGTACCCCAAATACCCTAGCTATTTCATTTTACTTGACATTTATTAAAAAGCATACAGAATATTTCCCACTTACTGAGAAAACTCTCCACAGATCCAGGCAGCAGCATACAGCACCTCTGCTATGGAAGACCTTGCTGCTGCAGGGCCAACAATTACATGAGCATTGTCAAGTAACAGTGCCATCTGACCAACAGTAAATTCTCTAACTGCAACAACCCGAATGGCAACATCCATCAGCTGACTGGCAATTAATCCACCGTGCTGTGTTCCTTCCATGCGGCACAACTCCACCAAGACGCTTATATACCTAAGGATATAGAGAAGTACAACAATTTTTTTTTTCTGTACTTACATAAACTTACATATTCTCATTTCAGTACCTGTATCTATCCCAGATTACAACAATAAAATGTAGATATAATATACTACAGACATTATTAACATGGTAAGGCATAACTAAACATACCACTCAAAGTTGGTAATGTACTGGAAGTTGTTTTGTGAACATATGAGTATAATCTTTTGAAGAAGTTCATCACGGTACATGGTGCCCTCTGCTCGGTCCATATGAGTCATTAGACGCCGCACAATCTCCATCACCGTCTTTTTAGTCACCTGAGATTTTAACAAAATTACTCGATGGATTCTAAAAAAAAAAAAGTATCTACATGGTCTCAACCTTCAAATTTCCTGATTCAAAGTTTAATTTAATTATGTTCCATTAAGTGATTGAGTGTATAGAGCACTTGCCTGTTGTCCTAAGGGTCACTAGTTCATACTCATGGAACCCACAGCTCACCCAGCTGTGAATGGGTACCTAATTTTACAGTTGGGGAAGTAATGGCAGTTTAATGTAGTGTTGGTCATGCTACCTCCTCTTATTTTAGACTTAGTATCCAGTGTGGTGTATCTGCACTGCCTCTAACAGGCTTTTAGGACTATGATAAAAAGGTGGAAAATAGAATAACAACAACAAAATCAAGTGCTCTAAATTACACACAACTTACTTCCACTTCACATAATCCTTGAAAGTTTACAGCATTATGATACCGCAACATGTACATCTGAGAACCCAAATGTACCACCACTGAATTTACCATATCTTGCAGCCAGCATCTAATGTCCTTGACCCATTTCTTAATATCTAGTCCTTTATAATTACCATGGCTGAGATTACCAAACATAATATATGGATTAAAACTTGAAAAATTCACCGCTATATTATCTGTTATGCCTAAGTATCCTCCACACTACCACAACAAAAATTAAATAAAATAGTGTTTGCGAAATACATGAGATCCTACCGTTGCAAAAAAAAAAGAAAAGAAAAGAAAGAAGCCTTAAAATTTCCACTTTTCTGTGATTCATACTTTGTGTATAATTCTATAGACACACTTGCTGGGTAGAGAGCCACAAAGATAAACAAAGTCAAACACAAGCAAATAAATAATGTATGCCTCCCTGTATATTCTAAGACATCTTATAAGTCTGGATACTTGACCTACGTGTGCTAGTCATCAGTTGTCGTGGAACAGTACAGGGATATGCCATGACTCTTATATATATAATCATTCCAGGTATACCCACACCCACAAAATTCTTCTCACCGGATTTATATGATCAATAAATATGGGTTTGAGAACCATAAAAAAATTGGAACTCCATGAAGCTGACATCCTTGAATCTAAATTACCCAAGAAAAACTTTAGCCAGGACTTACCATGCCATAAAGAAGATCAAGAGCTCTGAGCCGAATAGATTCATCTTTATCATCAAGACACTGAAGAACCAGATCCTTGTGTGCCTGAACCGACTTTGGATGAGTCTTGAGAATCTTTGACATGGCCAACAGACCCAGGTACTTCACTGTGTGTTACATGTTAACATTAATATACAACTAGAGAAAAAATACATGAAATCATACAAAAAATCATGATACTGTACTGCATATCACAAAATACCTGTACAGTGATTTCTTTTTATGAATTATAATTACTGGAGCTACATATCTGAAGCACTGATGAGTTCTGCTTTTATCAATACCCCCAGGTTTAAATGAATTAAAATCACCCGTCTTTTACATAAATTAATAATAATTTTTCATTCAATGAGTGTTTTTTTCCTGCCAAAGTGGGAACCCCAGCCTCACAAGATCCTTATTCTCTGCACCTATAATGTTAAGAACAAACAAAACTGGGCTCATTTAGAGCTTAATTACACAAAAACTTTACTCTCCAATTATGATACTTTTCTTTTTACAAAAAATTTTGTTTTACAGTACAGTAAATAGGAAATTACGTCTGTGCCATATGGTGTGACTTCGTTGAAAATTAATTTATTACTTTTAAAATGATGTACAGTACTATGCAGAGAACCCAGTTCAGAAAAAAATAACAAAATTCTACCAGTCTTATGCCAAACACAGACAACAGAAATACAAAATTATATGAGTTATGAACATGTTCTGTAGTTTGAAATATTAATGGCTTCTACTAAGTATAATACTATCTATCAGAATTTATTACATTTCATCTTTGGAGTACAAAATAATTAAAGATTTAAATTACTGTGGTTCAAAATTCAATTTAATGGTACTAACAATAAGTCTATTTCAACCCATCACCCACTAAGCTTAAGCAATGCCTCTCTTTACAGTGTGGTAGCCACTGCATAGTTACGTTCATGTACTAACAAGTACTGTATGCTCTGGTCACTTACACACACTTCCACTCTCAAGCAGTGCATTTCTTATGGTACAGTAACTCTTCTTGTCATTCGTTTCTTACTTGTTTTTTCATATCCACCAATTTCTTATACCCTCAATAAATATTATACCTTATCAAATCTAACTTCAATTCAAATTGTCTTCATTCAATGGAGTAAAACCCATTTACTATAAACTGAATAGGTTGGGACCAAGCACATTCTCTTAAATATATTCTTCCCAAGAACTGATATAAACAAGACTTGACTCCACTTTGCTTTTATTTTGTAAACTATAATAATCTTTTGGCAAGTACTTTAGGTGTAATTACTTCAGAAACAATACTGTATATGTATATTCTTTAAAATAAAATTAGAACGCTAATTACAGTTACTGTATTTAAAAATATTTGGTTACAATTCTCCTTAAACAGATCATTTCAATATTTCTCACTTTAAACTGTATACAAACTGTACATGTAAAAATGTTCTACAACTCATTGTTATAAAATGGCAGGGTATGCATAACAATAGTCATCCACCATCACAAACTCCCTTCTCTGGAAGCTCCAACTAGCACATCATCACCGCTCCACTGTTTACATAACACAGGTCCCAACATCCCCCACACATTCCATTTTTCTACCATAACAACTAGCTATCAAATATCATGCCAGTCTTTGAAGTGATTTAGCCACCTGATAGTAAAGACAAAAGGCACTTTGATACACATTTGTTGATGAAATTTCTTGGCTTTCTTTATGATCATCGGTCCTGAAAGAGGTACTACTGTATACCCTCACTGTAATTCTGCTGTTGTCAGTCACACAGAACTTTGTCGAACTCTGAAAATTTGTGTGTTTTACATATTTTCCATTTTCAATTCCTCTGTTAGATTTTGTTTCAGTATAAAACTTCACATTCTGTTCTTTATGCACCATTACCCGGTAAACTGTAAATTGTGCTTGTTCCAACCCCATATTCCTTCATAGGCCCACATATGTTTTTGCCCACCTCAACACAACATAACAGTTCCACTTCCTTGTTTAATGTTAGTGTAACTCATCCATATTATGCACTGCATGATGCTGAGCAATCCATTGATTGTTTTTTGGAAGATCATTGCTGCTACTGAGGTGCGAAACATAACCAATCAGAGTACCGTCCTCATGTCTGAGGGTTGGCGACCACAGTCCTCCACTCTAAACATTCCCGGGCTCTTTTTATCAAGCCTCCAAGGTTTTGTATCTTTCTGGGGACCCAGTTTTTTATTTCAATCATCCATTCCCATCTCTGCCTTCCCCTGGCCCTCCTACCCTTGCAAAAGAGCAACATGAGCTGGCCTGTGTCGACACTATGAATATGTTGTAACCCCTACTCAGTCTTAGCGGCAATTATCTGCCTCACATTTCTGATATTTTAACATTTCTCACTACCTTATCATCCAGGTCTCCCAGTTCTACCCACAAAACTGTAGCTCTTATCTTTTTAAATATACAGTAAAAAAAAAACGTAATTCACATCCTTCTGTTACAAAACATATTACAAATTTAAACATTTCGAATTACATTATCTTTGTACCAGATTTAGGTGCTTGGTCCATGGTTATCAGACATAATGGCTCTAACACTGGGCAATGGTGGAAAACAAGCTGTTTTTCCACCATTGCCCAGTGTTTATATTCAAATTAATCACTATCTTACAAGAATCCCAGCAATGTAAATTATCTTCTCCCAGGTCAGATCAGTGACATTTTATAAGAGAAAAACTTAAAGTCACTCTTAAGGACTGATAAATAAACACTCACTAGACCTTCGGTGCCAACTGTCAAACATATCACCTCAACTCCCCCTATCACCCCCCAACTTCCCAGCCAGGGTTTGGTGGTTTTAGGCTTAAAGTTTTTATCTTATATAATATCAGACTAAAGTTAGAAGAATATAATTTGCATTGCTAGAATCCCTGCAAGACAACGAATAATTTGAATTTCGACATCATATATTTTGCACAAGAGATAAAAATTAATCACCTGTATCACATTCCAGTGTGATTTATGAGTTCTAGTGTTTATGTACGTATATAAATACCGGTAGTAGTGATTTAAGGGCGATTTCCAGGATTTTTAGGAGTGTTTCTGACTTTACGCGTTTTTGGGCTTTACGCGAAGTCCCAGGAATGTAACCCTCGCGTAAGTTGCGAGAACGTAAACCTCACGTAAGTTGCAAGAACGTAACCCTCGCAAGTCTACTGTATGTCTAATAACCATGGACCAAGCACCTAAATCTGGTACAGACATAAAGTGATTAGAAACGTTAAAATCTTGATTCGCGCAGTTAATGGATGAGTACCATTGTTTTTCCCATCAGGTGAAGGTGTTCCTTATATTTTGTAAAAATCTCATCATTCGTAAGGGCTATAGAGCCCCTATTGTTTTGAATTATGGGTGTTTTACTGTACCTGAGAATCTTACTAATAAATGGCATCAATAATGTAAATTCAATGTCTAGTAACCTATTAATATTCCTACTGAACACAAACTATATAAATTTAATTTGGTATAACAAAGGACACACTTATTCACCCTAGACATACAGGTATTATGAAATATGAAAGCACCAAGTTTTAAAAACATTTCTGTAGTAAGAAGTTATTGGTGTAATTATGTAAAATGGAAAAATTATTGCATACAAATATAAATCTATCCTTTACAAGGGGCAAGTTGGTGTGTCTATTAAAATAAAGAACACCATTATAATGAATGTACTTCCTGTATTCAGCAGCCATGTTAATCCACCTTTGATATTTCATAATAAAACACAATATTCATCTGTCCACACTTACTTATCAAATACTGTATGTGAATCAGAATTTTAAGGACTGTATTTATGACAAAGAATAATAGAAGGGAAGTAAGGAAAAATAGATTTTCCATATGCCTCAGACAAGCCCCTTTTAACAGGACAAAAGAAATTAAGAGGCAAAATCATGAGTAGCTGTAAGAGATAAACTAAAATGAGGCATGGAGAGAGGAATTTTGGCTGGAAAAAAGAAAGATGATTGATATGTCAATCTTAATAAGTTAATTTTAGCAGTACAGTATTACGTTCTATACATTATAAAAATGGGACATCAAAACAGACTACATGCAACATGCTTATTTCAAACTGATGCCATTTGTGAAATACAGTACAGTATTGTACAATATACAGTATTTTAATATTATCTCAACTCATGTACTTCTGCCTAAATTTATTTACAGGCAGCAATTAAATTCACTTAAATATGCAAATGAATTACACATGTACAGTTGCAGACAAAATTCCCTTAACACTTGGTAGTATCTGCCAGGTAAGTACTTGCGGATCATTAGGTGAAGAGGATTGGAATTTTAATGTACTTTCTCACATTTTTCTTTGTATTGAGGAGTTTTTTTCCCCATTTCTTGGTTCTGACATAATGTTATGAAAAGCAGAATTATTAGACAAACCGATCACATATATGACCCAGAAGTGAACTCCAGACACAAGTATTGCCAAGTCTTCAGGGAATTTTGTTTGCAACTGTACAAACAGACACTGTTACATACACACATTCACCCATCACCCCTTTAACCTAAAATATACATGAGAAAAAGATAGTGTGTGCTCAATCTACAGCCCTCAGTGTTTTTAGTAACATCTATAACAATAAAATAAATCTTGTTCTATGCAATACAGTATAAGTATCCTAAAATGAAGCGCCTTTTCTGGCTCCAAATTTGAGGACGTAGTCTTTTCCTGCTAAATGCTGGGTGGCCATAAACAAGTCTGACTGCATTAACTATTTATTTAATTAACTTTTCGACTTTACTTTTCATAATTTTAAAGTCAATTATTTTCAATAGTATTAATGTTTTGTTTCCATTTTAATCCTTTATAATCCAACACCAAAACTACCACATTCCACTCCCAAATATGAAGTGAAACCAGTGCACCAGCCCTCAGGTGTAACATATGTTTTTGTTTGTTTTTTAACTGAGTAATAACCACTGCACTACGACAAACACAGCCAATAGTGTATATTCATTTACACTGAGGTCTCCATATATGTAGAAGCACAGAGGTCGAGTAGATACAGAACTCGCCTCCTGTTCCAAGCGTCGGTGGTTCAATCCCCAAGCACTCCCAATTCACCCAGCTGTAAATGGGTACCTAGGTTTACAACTTGGAGAAGTGAATGCGGTTGAATAAAATACAGGCCATGCTGCCTCCTTGTGTACCGTATCCACACTGTCTCTAGGGGCAGTAATGCCTAAAGGACCCACTTTCACTACTTCTTTTTTTCAATCCACATATGCAGGTTCGGTATACAGTACTGCATTGTATATTCATCCACTTAAATGCAAGGACCTCATTTCTACCATTCCCTCGGGTTATTCATGAAAATTTGCCCTTATGCGAGCTGGTGCAAGCAGGTATGGTGTGACCTCTAGTGTAAGAAACCCAACATAAGTCTGCTAGCAAAGGCCACTGGGCCCAGCACACCACGTAAATACAACATGAGTCATCTTGAGTCTGAACAACTACAGTCCAGGGAGCAACTGTTTAGACTCCAGGAGTTATAATTTGTTAAAAGAAAAAAATTAAATGGTGGAATAAGTGTTAAAGTGAGAGAAAGTGGTCTTAAGATTATTGTTTATTGTATTTGATTCCTCACTGGTTGCTCAGTACTGTACCTACAGGTCTAGTTCATATATTGCAATGGTAACTGGGTTCCCCTGTGTCATTTTCTTGGTTGACTGTATGGTGGTATCTCCTCTTAGGGCCTTGAAGCTTGTTATACAGAGGTCTGTTGGGTTCCTGTACATGTTTTCAACATATCTTTCAAAGCTTGGACACTTGATCTTGATGTTGTGTAGCGTAGTCTTGCGGTGGATTATGTTGAAAGCATTGGAGGTGTCTACCATGAGTACAGCCTCATAGGCATGCTGCTCAAATATCTTTATCATGGCATGAATGGCAGGTTCTCCTCCAGCCTGGTAGCCAGCACATACTTGCAGTTTCCCTGCAGCTGCCCTGACATCATCGTTGACCACCTCCATTATACGTTTACCAATAACTTGTCTCAGCAGTTCCCCCACCCTTGTAGAGCTACATCCTGGATTTTTGTCCAATGGGATGAGGCAGTTGGCCAATACAGCTTGTAGGTGTTAGTAGTAGTAGTCAGGTTTCTGGCAAACAACTTTACCAATAAGAGCAAGGGGGCTTCAACCTTAACAAACAAGAATTCACCATGGTGTGAATGAAGGGAGGTTTCATTTGCATGAGGCACAATAAAGTAAGGGTCCTCACAGGGAATACGCTTAAGGAGATATTCGATGACATCACTGTAGAACCCACCCTCCTCTCATTGGGTGGCAAGCATTTCCTTTACTGGACTGTCAACACAGCTAACTAAGCCTGTGTGGACGTCAGTGCTTGAGGATTCTGGACAAGCTGACAGCATGCCTTCTTTGATATCAGGATATTCAATCCCCTGGCCACATGTCACTATGACCTGTCTCTTGAGGCTGCACACAAGAGATGTGGTTACAAAGTGAACAGAGTGTCTGTAAAAAGAGTCCAGAACATGGACAAAGGCAGCTTCACTACTCTGGTGTTCACAATATCTGGTGTTATTAGAAAAGAGGCAGTAACCCAGAACCTATGTCATGGTCTGGTTAAAGTGTCACCTATCCTTCTCTTTGCTCAGGTCTGCTCTGCTGTGTCTCAGGGGAAAAAGATCAAAGATCTTTAATCCCTAATCCAACAACAGTAATGGAATGTTGCACAAATCTGCAACTTAACTAACTCAGCTAGGGTAGACACTTTTGTAATTAGATAGTTAGGTAATAAAATGAAGGAGGTATGGCTATAAGGGGAGGTTGGAGACCCCAAAAATAGCAGTACGCATAGTAGTAATAATAATAGTAGTAGTTGAAACCTAACCAAATCTAACCAAATTCAAGGAAATTTGGAAAGGAAAAATCTGGTTTGGTAATAACAATGTGCTCTAAGGACCTACTTAGGTGTCACGGACAAAATGTTTAAAAAAATTTCTGCTGAACTGTATGATCATACAATAGTGGGAAGGAGGAAGAGAGAAGGTCGGGTATGCCTTGGCCACCCTGTACAACTAAACTCCCAGTGCTTTTGTGTCTAACAGATTCATTACAAGCCAGTCATCACATAAGTTAAAACATCATTTATATTTTCCTTTATCATGTTCATTTCTATGAATTTGTAAAAATAAAATAAAACAGGGATGAAAAATTCAGTTTGGTAATGAAGAAGATGGATTTGGTACCGGCTGCAAAATCAGAGTTAGCAACCGTGCCTCAGCCTCCCACACCTTCCACCCATCCTGGCACCACCACTCCACTCCCACCCAGTGTCCAACTACCTGTCTTGATGTTGTCATATTGGTATTTTTTTATGTATACAGTATTATGTACCATACTGTACTTAATATTTAATAAAACCGTTTTGGAACAGTTATTGCATATTTTTTGGCCTCTGGAACCTAACTAATCAATTAAACTATGACTGGCAATGTCTTCTGGTAATAACCCACCAATCATCATGACTCGACTGTACTGTGTCCTTACTCTGAAAACTGTTTATGCTTTTTCCTTACAAATTTTAAAACTTCTCTGAACATTTAACAAAACAGAACACTATTAAATTATAAATGTTCAAATACTGTACTACTGAAATCACGGATAACAAAGGTTTAAGTTCCCAATAATCCTTCGACACCAAAATATTAAACTGCGGATATCATCTTATATGCCGAATGCTAATAACAGTAAATTCATATAATTTAGTAGCATTACAAATAATACATTTGAAACATTTAATTTGTGGCTGCCTGCATCATAATCAACAAGAGAGTTTCTTATCTAAATAGCAAGAGATATAATAAATAACCTTTTAACTATACAGTGTATTCTCAAAAAGTGCAACCTGACCAAGAATAACTACATAGAGAAATCTTATGGCGTAACTATTAGATAAAGTGGTATTGTATAAAAACTAATTTACACACACATGCACGCACGCACGCACGCACACATACACACGCGCACACACACACACACTATTTCCATTCTTGGCATCAATGAAAGTATTCCACATAATAACATCACCATAAAAAGACACACTTAAATTGAATAATTTCAAAAGTTGGACAAATACTTCAGTAAAACCTATGACATGAATACCAACAAATTTCTTTATCTTTGAAGAAATTTATTAACAATATTCAAGCATTAATTTGGCAGCACTAAAATACTTATATTTTTATATTACTAATGAAGTACAGTACATGACATGCCATAAGTATTTACAAATATGGTACAAGCCAATGATTTAATGTGCACTACTAAGCCTTGATTATCCATCATTAATTATCTTAACCACTGTCACACCCAGGCTACTAAAATTCCATCTGATCATCATCTGTGCAAAAATAATTGATATACACAAGAATAAAACCATTAATACTGTTATCAGTGTATACTGTAATTTTTTGTTTTTAAGAAACTCAACATGGATAACTAAGGCATTTCAATATCATGTACATTTCATTTATTGTTATCTTATTTATGAGGTAATAAAACCTCTAAACAAACACATGCTCCTTTCAACTAATGAAAAAAAAAGACACGAGTAAAATGCTACTAAGAATAATGATGGAAACTCTGCAAATGATATTTAAGGAAAACTTGCATGCGTGATTAATGTCCCACCACAAAACATTCAAAAAAATCACAGAAATCTAGCACACACCTACTTTGCCTGTCTGAGCCTGTACTACAGAGAGTTTGGGAAAAAATATTGTTACTGATTGAGGCCTTAAGAGTGTGGTAGATATAAGTAGGTAATTACTTAATCTAATTTATGGAAAGGATTTTAAAACTTTTTTCTTTAAACAATGAACACTGAGTTTAGAATAATCTGCAAAGAAGAAGAGAACCTAAATCCCCTAGATATGATGCAATCCTTGAATTAGACAGCAAATCATAGCTAACATTCCTCTATTTTCGAAACTCTGGTTTGTTGAGATTCTGACATATTGTTGAGGCTGACTGTACAGTACCACACCATGGCTAATAAAACAGAAAAGGACCAAGAGTAGATGGAAGACTTCAAATATATTGAACTCCTTCTAAATATTAAGTCCAAAAGAGGCAAGTGAAGAGTAAAAAATGTATTAATTAAGGATACTGGATTGTAAGAGTCTGCATAGTGTAGAACTTTATGAACTCCTCTGGTTTACTGTTACAAATTATCTTTTTATAACATTTATGAAACTATTAGACCATTATACTGTAAACATTCTTTTAACAGTGTGATATGGAATTGCCAGACAATGAAATAAGTTAATATGAGTGACCAGTTGTGTATAAAACATGACAATCATCTACACATCTCCATTCAGTATCTAGAATCATAGTGATGGGGATATTGTTTGTAATATTACAGTACTGGCTGTTTCAGGACCAAGAGATCAAGTTTTCCCAGCTCTCAAGATTATAATGAAACCCCTAATTTAAAAATACCCCAGTTTTAAGCAATTTTATCCTTATTTTCATTCCCATTCTCATGAGGTGGAGCATCTACCAAAGGTCTCACACACAAAAAATAATTTCAATTCTACTTTGTGTGAGAGTACAGACTCTCACATTCCAAGACTTTTATCAAACCACTAAGCACTTTAAACTTGTGTTCATTCACATTTCAACATATTCATATCATTTGGATCGTAGAGTACCGGGTATATCCAAGTTCAAACAGCATCCCCAAATGCATCCTTTGAACCTAACCAACTTGCTCACTGACTGCATCTTAAGTCTGCTTTCACTTTATGTGCCCCTATGCAATATCATACGACTCTTACCTAAAACTCATAATCTCTCTCATTACCAAGCCATCACTATATACAGTATTTTCATACTTATCAATTTTGAATAACTTTATCACTCCAGAAGTCTTTTTCAAGCCATACAGTATATCCTTTATTTGTCTATTCTTTCCATTCTTATAACCATAAAATTTTCATTTCATCTTAAGTGTTCTCATGTTTCCCCCATCTACATATAATAAACAAAGATATCATAAAAATTTTATAATACAATGAGCTGGAAAAAGGACTTCATGAAGTAGTGTTCTTTTAAATTCTACACTAAATGTTTACTATTAAACTCCAGCTCTTCTTGCCAACATATTCTACTCACTATTTTTTTTCCACTGCCTTTGTTATTGAACAATGGTTCTAGGTGTTAAATGCCTGACAATAATTAGTTTTAACAAAAATAATTTTGGTAAACATGTACAATAACTTGTACATTTAAATCTAACCAATTTCCTGTAATTCGGCAATATTTCTAGTAAATTTGATCTTCAAAAGAGAAGTACAGTAATTTAATACAGTACCTTGAAAAAAGTTAAATATTCTTGTTTTGATCTACAGTATTCAAGGTGTACAGTATAATGGCTTTATCATTAGAAAATACTAATCCCTTTACAGCTGTAAATACATAAACCATCCAAAAATTTAACACCTATCTAGAATTATAAAAATCTAATTTAATGATAAATAACAAAAATTTAATGCAAATTGACAATATCTTTCTTCATATTTCATAAGAATAAATGGATTAGCTTATAAAGATGGGCTTACCAATAATACTTTAAGCAACATAAGCAGTAAACTTATTTAATAATTAGTTAAGAGGCTCTAGCATTATTTTTAAATCAGAGCCAGCAAGAACTAGTATAAAAATTGGCTGGTAGTGGAGGGTTAACTTGTCATGTTGCAATATTTAGCATGGAAATAAAACATCTCTATTACCCTTAAATGTTGTTTACAAACAAGTCAGCTCTAAGTTATTAAATAATACGTAATGAGCACAAAACTTATCAAAACACTAATGTACTGTATGTTAAAAAAAAAAAACTTTCAAGAAAAATTTACCATCTAAATGTAAAGCAAACTATTATAATATAAATGTGTTGTTTTAAGTAAATAGTATTGCACTGTATAAAATAAGGCCTGAAAGCACTAATATTTCTTGAAAATCTTCCATTCACAAAGCTAATTTATGAAAAAAGCCAATGACCAAAATGCAACATCTGATGAATACAGCATGACGATGGATACGTATAGAGGTATGGGACCGTTTATCCGGCATCCCAGTATATAGAAAGCTCAAAAAACAACTACTGTACCATGTTCTTGAATGAATGATTTTAAATGAGTGCCAAGTAATTCTCGGACTGAGTGGGGAAGTTTTCAGCCGTTCCCCACCTGTGAGTTATATGTTACGTTATGTCTATTGTTATCTCATATTTCAGGTAGATATTGGTACAGTACAAAAAAAAAGAAATCTCAGTTTTTATGGGATTCCACCATGAAGGCATTTGGCAAGAGAGTGCAGAGGTCAGAGGGTCTAAGGCATAGCACAGTTGCTAGGGAAGGCAGTAAGGCAGCATCCCAGCTGGGTATCATTGTTAAGGCGAGTGTTGAGGCAGTCAGCATCCTTATGACTGCAATGCAGTGTGTTCTATACTGTACACTAACTTTTATAATTTTTCATCTTTTTGTGTATTCGTTATTTCTATTTATTATTTTCTTATTGCTGTTTATATGCCAAAAATTTAAATTTTAATATTACAGTGTATCATTAAAATCGCTTTTAGGTGTGAATCTAGTGATTTGAACACGAGTTCCCAGTCAGTTACAGAGGGTTCAGTACAATTTAGGCCTGGTGCTCCAAAATCCAGAAAAACCCCTATTAGGTAACCCCCCAGATCCCAAGCATACCAGATAAATGGTACCATACCAAATAACAGATATATAGGCAGACAGATGAGGTTTTGAAAAAAGCAATTTCTCAGCAAGCATCTAACAGTTAATGAGCTCCTAACAAAACTCCTCTTTACTGTTATTACTCTCTCACACTCACCAGTCACTCCACACAACCTACTTCATTTATGGTTTATTTTATAACCTGATAACAAAACAAGGCAAATAATTCTTTCCACTCCTTAACAAACATTTCTTGGGTTAAATAAAATATAACCAAAACAACAATTAAAACATGCATGTACAGTTATGGACAAAGTTCTCAACATTTTTGGCAATATCTGGCACCTACTTGAGGGTCCAATAGGTAAAGGTAACGGGGATCATAACATATATTAACTAAGAATTTTCTTTACATTTTAGGTATTTTTTCCCGTTGTAAAATCTGACATAATTATTAATATAAACCAGCATTCAGCAGCTATAAACCGAATCACATATGAGAATAATTGGTAATAGCCATACTGTATATTGTGCTGCAAAATTCAAGGAAATTTTGTCTGCAACTGTACATGTTAGGGTATATGTATTACTCTATCCCACTGAAAGCACTTAGTCTATTATGTTCTATCTAAACAGAAAGAAATATAACCCAATTTTGAAGAGCTACGTACTAAATGACCAAGATTCATGAAAATGGATATACTCAGTGTGTGATGTCAGTTAAGCGTTAAATAACAGTAGTGTCAATTTACATTCAACAAATTCATTCAGATAAGTTTACAAAAGAAAGTTATTCCTCAAATTCAAAATATATTCACTCAAAGGGTAATTCTGCAACTATGACAACTAAATTCCTTAAAATCAGGTAGTCGTGAGTGGGAAGGGTGTTTACGAAAAAGCAATATGCATAATCTTTTTAGCAAAGACATTTCTATATAAATAACTACAGCTGTTAAAATACTATGCAAAAAGATGTGCAGAAAGTAAACTAATGGTATATGATCTGTGGAAAAAGCAAAAACAAAAAAAATAATGTCCAAATAAAGAGACAAAACTACTATCATGGGCAGGAAAGAGTTGTCGCTACTTACAGTTCTGATCCGAGTCTTCTATAAGGATCCTAAGTTTCTGCACACACAGCTGTAATATAAAGATAAAAAAATTTGCATAAACAATACCATGAATTTATAAGGCTTAAACTGCATAGTGAATACAACAAATAATCCATCAAAATATGCATAATGTACAGTACATAGGAGAATTCTGATCTCAGTATCTAGCCACAATGCACTGCAAAAATCCAAATCATAAATCTCATGCAGTAAATTGTGTTCTGTATTTCAATATACAGTATTCAAGGGGTCCCCGGGTTACGAACGGGTTCCGTTCCTGAGGACGTTCTTAAGACGGAATTGTACGTAAGTCAGAACACATGCTATGTGCAAACCATATTTACAGGACAATGTTTAAAATCCTACTATATCATAGCCTAAGTCCTTATATACATTTAAGACAAAAGAAGATATAATGACAAAATACAGTAAATGAAAGTAAAAAATGAGTCGTCAGTAAATAAAATAATGTAAATTTCAAGTATAACCCCATTCGCATCGGTGGGCGTTCGTAAGTCGGGGGACCCCCTGTATTGTACAGTGTTTGATTCTATCAAAATTGTGTGTCCTTTCCAGATAGTTGAATATTATTTTTTACAGCAGAGTGAATGAATGAATGATAATGAAAGATGGGAACCTGTTTATTCATAGTTCTGGCCATCCTATTTTACAGCAGGAAAAGTTTTGTTATACTGTAGTGACAAAATACTATCAAGGTAGTACAGTAGGTCTTTGCCTTCTCTGGGACAACAGAGGACACAATTACTGTGATCATAATACAGTATAAACACTTGTCAGATATTTGCATAATTTCTTACACAGTGCACTTCTAAATTAAAATGCATTAGCAAATGTTATCAATCAGAGTACCGTCCTTATATAAGAGGGTTGGTGACCACAATCCTTCACTCTAAATGTTCTTGGGCTGTTTTTACCCAGTTTTCAAATTCATTCATCCATCCAGGTCTCTGCCTTCCCCTGGCCCTCCTATTAATACTTCTGTTATGACAGGGCATTTACAAAACCAAAAGCATGCTCCAAAGTTTTTTTCTTTTAAAATTTGTATTATTGTAAAACAAAATCATAAACAAAGTGCAAACTGTTTTAAAGTACTTTCGTGGGAGGGAGCTCAACAAATCATGCATGACTTTTTTAAACTGTTTTCTTAGGACACCCACAGACCATTGTACACACTAAAATTTTTGCTTCTTCATAACACTTGATGTTGTACTGTACAGATACTGTACTTAGCTTCATCTTCTTTTGTTTTACAATATACTATACACTGTCACACATTCTAATTCTGTGGCCATATGGTGCAGGAGCAATGATTCACGTCATATTTTCTCCTAAGCCAATATACTGTACGTCTCAATTATTTTACCTGACATCAGAAGTACTGTACTTTTTTGTAAAGCCAATTTAAATATGAAAAAAAGGTTAAATAATTTCAATATATTGATCCTTCACTTACCTCTGTACACCATAATAAGTTCAGAAATAAGTTCAGGTACACGCACATACTTCACCAGCATGTGACATTCCTCAAGGCTTTCCCGCAGAGGACCAACAACTCCATACAGGCATATGAGAGGATCAAAAACCTAGCAAACATGACACCCACAATCTGCATGTACTGTACAGTACAAGACGCATAACACAGCAAAATAAAATAAGACCACAATAATCATCTGCCAACAAAGGAAAAACAAAACAAATAAAGTCATATCATATGGAATAGAAGTACAGTGTAGTATACTGTATCAATAACTCTCTCAATTATATTTACTATATCCACATTACATCCTTTAAAAAATGCATAACTTTCCAGGAAAAAAATGCCTGCTAGCCTAAAGATAGGAGGTGTACTTCAAGCTATACTACCACAATAAGTTAACTGAAAGCAGTGTGGGTAGGTTAGGTCACATTAACATGCAAAAATATACCATTACGAAACATTTCTATTTGTCCCATGTACTATACAGCATATAAACGTAACATTCCTCTAAATACAGTAACAACATGGCAAAATTAATTACAACCTTCTTTTACAACATGCAAGCATTGCTATCATTGACTCATTCTGTAATCAAACTTGATGAATGAACAGTAGAATATAACTGTATGGTTCACTTTAATGTTTATAACTTCATGCTCCATGGTAGAGATCTGTGTATGTTACATCTATCAGTCCTGCAGTATAAATAATGGACTGTAGTGTACATGAAGCTCATATAAATTGGTCAGCAACTCATTTCTGCATTTTTTTTTTTTGGAACAGGAACCAGAAGGTTATACTATTCTTCACATGTGATTTGCCTTTGAAAAACATATGGATACACAAAACATTTTATTGTACCTGTATGGAGGCGTTGTGATTTGGCATCCCTGAAGAAATAGAAATGAGCACTGTGAGAGCACATGGGGAGAGAGAGAAAACACTTCGTCAGTACACACAAAAACAAGTATTCTTTTAATAGTGAAAATTAATAGATACGCCAATAACAAACATTATGAAGCTTATCAGGAAATAATATTAAACCCTATTTTTCAAAGTATGTCTACAAACCATATCATATTCTTAAATATACGGTACAGTATACAGGACTGTATATCAAAATGACACAAAACTTCTTTCCCAATACACACATTAAATAAGATTAAGAAGACAATTGACTTCATAAATGTTATCAAGCAAATAACCACATTACTTGGCTTTTGAAATAACTAATACAAATAAGCAAACAGAACATATACAGAGACAATAAACCCACATACCGGCAATGACTGTGTTGATACATTCATAGAGAAGAGACATGGCTGATGTACTGTAGGGAAGAGATATGAAATTAATAATGACATTATCACTGAATATAAAAAACAATAACAATGACTAAATAGAAAGAATACATACTGTACTGTACTGTACTCTTAACACTTGACCATATATATATATATATATATATATATATATATATATATATATATATATATATATATATACAGGTATATATATATATATATATATATATCAGTTCTCATTCAAGGAATCTGTTAGCTCCTTTATAATTTAAATTTAAAGTTGTACTATAGCTAATAAAGTTATAGCACTATACAATTTATCAATTAACAAATAGTAATATAGTATTGCACAGTATACAAATGCTGTTTCTTAGTAAAATACAATATACGGTGTCAAGTTTTGTACTGTATAGTAAAATGTTATACTAAATGATCTTTGCTAACATTAAAATGAAATCATTACAAAGACCCTCCAGAACTACCTAAATCAGGGGTTAAAAGCAAAACTATTCTCCACATATTACAGGTCATACACTACATTTACCAAACTGTGGAAGTATCATTCATTTCCTAATCACATAAATCCTTCGCCAACTATAATCACAGGTACTGTATACCTTAAATACTGTACCCATCAATATTTTTAGTTTATTTTGAAAAAGAGGGGGGGGTTGGGTGATAGTACTTTCATGAAGACAACTCATGTTAAGGTTTGGTCCAACTGCTAACCAGATTTAGGCAATGGTAAATGCAGTTCTCACCACTGCTGGTGTGGAGAATACCAACCTTTAATTACTATACTGAATTACAAGTTCTGTAATAATGATTACATGAGGTACATCTGAACCTGAATACAGGTTCTCAAGTCCCGACGTATATATGTATATGACATGGGTGGCCTTGTGCAGTATGAGATAAAGCGAATGATGTGGATATGTGCAGTATACTTATGGCAATGAAGTGGGTATGTTCATGAAATCCACTTTGTTCACAAAAACTTCATAATAATCATGATAATAATAATAATAATAATAATAATAATAATAATAATTTTTTACTTGTACACAAAGAAATGTATATTCCCTTTATGTGTTTGCCCTTAGGACAATTATTTCTTTTACCTGTATTGTATGTGTATGTGTGTGTGTGTGTAGGCACACACACACACAACACATACAAATAAATAATAATAGGAAAATCTCTCACAAATAATCAGAAACAAAAGTATTAAAAATGTTGAGTCTACCCTCAAGTCCACTCCGTGCTTTATTATTAATAAAGCACGGAGTGGCTTGAGGGTAGACTCAACATTTTTAATACATTTGTTTCTGATTATTTGTGAGAAGATTACCCCATTATTAATTATTTGTACTGTATGTGTTTTGTGTGTGTGTGTGTGTAGGTAGTAAGCAGCTTCCAAACAGGGAGGTACTATAGCCTGGGAAGATATTGGAAGCATAATGTATTGTCTAATGGTAGACCCTGCTGCCATATGGCATCACAAAAATTGTGACCAAGTCCCAGGTTGCTGATCTGACTTTCTGCCTCATTTACACACAACTGCAGGGTCTCAATTGTTTCCCTTACTATTGACAACACAACATACATATATTGTTTCTCTCTTGATTTTTTTCATTTTTGTATTTATGGTTCTTTATTATTATTATTGTTATTATTATTACAGTTATTAATATTATCATTATTATTTAATTTTTTATCAAAATTTTTATTTACTATGAATTATTATTACAGTATTATTATTATTATTTATTATTATTACATTTTCGTCCCCCAGGCCCCGATGTGGGTCAGTGACCTGTGCCCGGGTGGGCTAATGCCCGTTAAAAAAAAAAATCCTTAAACTGTGTGCTTCTTGTGAAGCACACATTGAATCTGGTGTAGCTGATGCAGCAAAATTTTCAGGAGATTGCACTGGTTACTCTACTTTGTGTATATCCAAAAGCTCTCATGAACTCTTCAGTGATGCACTGAAGAAACTAGAAATGGGATTCTATGACGTGGTCATACATTTTGCCATTGTACCTATAGAGGGAATATTCACAAGTTCACAACACCTAATCAGGTGATAAGAGAAGCTTGGGCTAATGATAACTTCAACAAAATACAGGAAATGCCAAGTGAATCACAAAAAAAGCACTGTGAAGACTTTAGAAATTGAGTTCTGATGTTCAATCATTTACATTGATGAAAAGTAACTAGTACATAGAAGAAATTCAAAATTTGCCTTATTTGTCGTAAGTGACCATGACAACATTGGAAGTCCCGTACCCTCATTCACGAGAAACAGCTGAAAGAACTGTACCCAAACTTCTTGATGCACTAAGAATAGCTGTCACTCTCTGTGACAGTGTCTGTTGCAGAGAGGAGCTTCTCAAAATTGAGGCTCATTAAAACATATAACTGAAATAATCACTGGCTCAAGAATGCCCGAGTTGGCGTGCCATAATCAGCATCAACCATGAGTTAGGACAGCAGCTGTCACATGACAACATATCTGATGATTTTGTTTTAACCCCTTGTGTACGGGCTCCCGTCTGAGATGATTAAAATCGTCTGGGGAAACCAAATAAAATTTAAAAACTGGTATCCCCAGAATGAAAGGTTAAAGAAAGTAGGCAATATAATTTCAAAGATACCTGATAGTTACTGATGTGTTGGTTATCTCATAAATATCATTGATCAATTAGTTCTCTCTCAAGTTATGATGTGAAAAAGGTTCTTGTAGGAGAGAGAAGTGATGACACAATTAAGATACCCTTAGCTCAGTCATGATAAGGGCCCTATAAAAAAAAGTGAGCTTAAGGCCCCCAGAATGCTAGAGGCAACCCTGATGGCAGCACAGTAGAAATACTGGACTACAACAATGAGTTGGATGAAGATCAAATACTGTAGGAGAAATGAGTGACCATAAAATAAATAGTGCCTTGTAATCAGGTATTATTTCAATGTGCACCTATTCCATTATTTTTCAATGTGCACCTATTCCATTATTATAAATGGTTTATGGTTTTAAATTATTCTTATCTTTAAATATTACAACATAAACAACGGATATCAACTATATATCCAGTAAATACTGATGTTAGATTTTTTTTCCTTATTTAAGGGCTAGTAAAGTTTAAATCTATTAACCCTGCTGGCAACTTGATAAAAATGGTGAATTTGCCTCCCTGTGAATGCTTCAACAAAGTGAGCTAGAGAGTGAGAGAAGCCAAGGTGGACAGAGACATATAAATGCAAAAATGTGTGTGAAAGGAATAAGAACAAATATTTATTAAAGGCTTTTACTGTTATCAAGACATTAAGAAATATAAAGATGGAGGTCTACAGTTGCCAGAGAAACTACAAAGAATAAGTGAGAAAAGACTTTCTAAATGAGTGCATTTGAATAAGATGAGTGAGGAAGAGGCAGAATATCTTGGGTGAGATGATGAAACCAAAGAGATGTGAAAGGAGATAGACACAAGGTGCAGTTGACCGTCTTGTGAGATATATTAATTTCATGTATTACCTAATAATCACACTTTGATAAGTTGCTCAATTCTTCTTCTTAGTCTCTTACTCATACCTCAGTTTCAATATTAACAATGAAACAAAACTATGGTTTCTTGTTAATAGGATAATCCTATCTAAAAATCATAAATTATGAAACCTAGTTTTTTTTTAAATCCCACAATCTGAGGTTTAAACTGAACACCATGATGACATATCAAAATACTACTGGCATGCAGAATGACAAGCAAATCAATTGAGTGACTCATTCACTGCACAGGTTTTGTCAGAGACTATGGCCAGTAAGTCATACGACACCCCTTAATGAAAGTCTCTCTTTTACAGTGCTTTTTGAAGAAAAAAAGATAATAATAAATTTAAAAAAAAATCCTATTGCAACTTAAAATACATTGAATGAACAAGATATTCCTTAGATTGTTTGGGTTCACTTTTGTAGTCAAAATATACTTAATTCATATATGATATGAACTCTGAATACTGATATTGGAAATTTAATTGTTAACAACTCAATAAAATATTAAGCAGTTTTGAGTACTGCACAGTACTGTATAGCTACTGAATTTGACTTTCTCATTTCCAATTATCTGCAATCCAGAAATGGTATATCATAACAGAATACTATATCCTAACAAGCAACTGTGGAATATATACTAATGCTTTCTCTCACATGCAAAATTAGGTTAATGTCAAACCAACACTGTGAAAGATGTTTACCTGTGGATCAGATTTGTAAGAGGTTCTATCAGCTTCTTGCCTAATCTGGGCTCTAGTGGGGTCAAAGCACCAAACTGTCAAAGAAGGGAGAGCCTGTTCATTACTAGGGTGTACACTAGTGCATATACAGTACACTACTTGCCAAAAAAAAATATACAGGTATATATAAAGGGTATGAGTACTCCAACAATGTCAAAAAATATTAAAGTCATCCACTGTGAAGAAAATTTCCTATCAGAGAAGTTATTTCTAGTTGTCTCCCATGTTCACGCTTATAATGAGTACTCATATCCTAGTAATCTAAGATCGGTTAACAGTGCATGTTGTGGTAACTGAAATGTGATGAAAAATAATTCACCTGGCATGAGTTCACTAGGTTCCCTAATAGGACACTACATTCCATGGTTTCTAGCCAAAGTTTAGAGGGCGAGTAATTTCCCTCATCTACGGTTCGTGATAACAACAATGTAGGTTACCTTTTAAAGTATAATGCAGAACCATGTCCTTAAAACTGAACTATCATTTGCTTCATATTACTTTTCAAACATGAAATTATTTGCATTAATTAGTCTTAATAATAATGTTCATACTTCCTTTTATGTTACTACCTCATATGCCTGAAGTGACAACTTTAACACATCCCATTCTATCCCTCCCTTTACAAGATTTTTGGGTGGTCATTCTCCCCCAAAATACATTTTCGTCAGTCCTTGCAAAGAGTTTCTACCATATGTGACAATTTGGTCTCCATAAACTATAACATTGTACAGTATATGGCTAGTGAAATTCACTAGTGAAACACATTTGAATAAGCTTTGATTGTCATTATCTTCGAAACTAATTATGGCAACTATTCACATGACCTTAAGCATGTTTTATGTAAAATTCTTTAAAAAAATACAGTTATCAAAATACTTGTAATGGGGTAGAGTGGATAACTCATTACTACTTCAGTAACAAATAAGTTACTGTACATTATTTCAACTACAGGAATCAGCACAGAGGGATGTTCATATGAATTAAATATCAGAAATGTACTGTATTCTATTCTTTTTTTCCATTATTTCCAGGAACTTACAGGGTTTAAAGAATCTACTTAGAAGGAAAGTACAGTACGTAGTATGTTCAAAAATAATTAAAAAGTGTCAGTTGCTTGAAGAAGAGTAGAATTTAGTTGAAAAATTTACCCGCTGTTTGTATTTTTTCTTTGTTGTTAAACTTGAGACATCTTCAGAATTTGTACTAACGGTCTTTTTGGATATTAAAAATTATAAGGAAATTTGTCATATAGGATCTAGTTTCCAGTTGTTGCTAATAATGTTACAGCAATATATCTCAAACTGTAAATACAAAGATTGATAAAGAAAATCTACTAATTTTTTCAACAGGATAAGACTGAAGTGAACTAGCATAAGCTCAAAATACCCTCAACCCAGGCAAGTGCTCTATGAGACATTATCAAGTCAGTGTTTGGTTGACAATCATCCATCATGTTAACTCTAATGGAATAATAACATTAATTTTTCTTGTAGTTAGTAGACCAACTCCTTTGGTGTTGGAATTCAATTAAAAATTTTGCTATAAAGCCAATTCGCATGACTGATGGAGTCATATTGCACACTGCCTCAACTACCTGGGTGTAATAAAGAAGAGAATTTAGAATAATAATATAAAAGTCTGCCTCTACTGAATACCTGCTTATAATTTCAATGAGAGGCTCACTCAGTCTGCGTCCAAGTTTGGGTTCAATGCCCGTGAGCACCCCAAACTGAAATGACTCGGTAGTCAAATCATAGCAACAAAAACACAAGGACATAAATCACAAACATTAAGGCAATAAGTTGTTGATATCCCATCTATTTATATGTAAGGTGACTGACTCCCAATTAGCCAAAATCTGAAGGTTCTAAGCACTGTCAGTAAACAATATTAATGACATAAAAAAGTCATCAAACTACATTAAGAAAAAACAAAAGGCAAATTTTCAAGTGATATTCACTTATGCTTTGTTACCAAAGGTGTAAAATAGGACAAATCTCTGTGTTGCCAATTATGACAAAAGAATTCTCTGTAGTACATGAAACTCTGATAACTGTTATTTAAGGCTAACCTTCCTCACTTCTGGTTACCACAATGTGTACCATTATAAGAGCTGTTCTCTTTTACTATCCAGTATGTATAGAATAATAAATAATAATAGAACTTAAACTATTTAAACAACACAATATTACTACTCACCAATTTAATAATCTTAATAAGCATCCAATTATTCGTAGAAGATGTCATAAGCTTAAAAAACACAGGAGCAAGGCTGAGGTAATTCTTGGGATTCTTACGGGCCAGCTCACAGATAACATTAACAGCTGCTGACTGAACACCAGGGTCAGGGTCTTCAAGTTTTTCCTTCAGCCTCGGGAATGCTGGTCTAAGAGCCTCAGGAAATTTTAAAAATACCTTGTACAAAAGAAGAACTGCCTTTTTCCTTAAGTACGGTTTTGTTGACGTAAGCTGTTGGAGACAAAAATTATGGTAAATGTTATTATGATTTAAAAAATACACAAACACACATCATACCCTGCTCCTTGTCTTCCATGTGCAATGTTCAGCTGAACCTCTTTACTTTGAATTAGGCTGTTATAAACTTTGCCTAATTTGAGCAAGTTTCAAGTTTAAACAAATTACAGTCTCTAATTTGAGCCAATTGTCTAATTTTGAATTATAACACCCTGATTCAAACCTAACCATATTCATGCCAAAATTACCACCAAGGCGCCACCACTCAAAAGTTAGTCGGTTGCCATTTAAACACACTTCTGAAAAAATCTGTTGTCAGTCATTCTCAGTTTAGTCCCTTTATCTTTGCTAATTAAGGAGTTCAAATTTGGGAAAACGGAAAAGGAAAAGTCAAAGGGAAATATAAATTTCTTTGCATAACACAAGTACTTTAGTATGTAACTACTGCACTGTAATTTAGTACCAAACTATTGCAATTTAGTACAGTAACTAACTACTGTAATTTAGTACCTAACTACCATAATTTAGTACCTAATTATGTATGGTACTACTATTTAATACTTAACTACTATAATTTAATACCTAACAGCTGTACTGTAATTTAGTACCTAAAATAAATAGTACATGTACTGCATACAAATGATCCAAAATTTTAAGGAATGTGTCAGTAAACTTACCAGTGTCATAACATCATTAGCCAAGTCCCTTGCTAAATCTCCACTAATGAAGCATGCTAGACCAGTGAGTGCTGTGCCAGAGTCATACATGTTATGACTATTCAGATCTTTTCGTATCATATTTGTTGTCAGCATGAGGACCTGAGAAATGGATGTATCATTAGTTTCAATAACATCTTCAGTATTAGACATAGGGGCAAAAAAAGGGGAAATATAATGTACTGTACAGAAAATATAAGTTAACTCTTAAATGCTGTCATATATACAGTGCGGTATGCTATAACGAATGGATTCTACTACGAATATTCCTATAACGAACGGTTTTACCTATAAAATTGAAAATGCTATAACGAACGAAACTCCTACAATGAATTTTTTTTTTTACTAATTTATTGTTTTTTTTATTACAAGTATTAATGATATTCTTTACTTCAGGGGTTTAGATGCATATTTATGCACTTTTTTACAATTTTTACAATTTTATATTATATTTTTCAGTGTTAAGTGGTTGTATTTGGGGGCCTGGAAAGGATTAATCCTATAACGAACGAATGCTATAACGAACAAGGTTCTAGAACCAATTAGATTCGTTATAGCATACCCCACAGTACAAAGTTTTCTGATTTTTCAGTGAAATACAGTAGTGTTGTAGTTTCAAATGAATTCACCATCATTTGTACTATAAATTTTAATTTCAGATGGACAAAAGTGAAACCCAGCCACCAAAGAAAATTTTTAAGTAAATCAAAAATTAATTCCTACATCACCATCTATCCCACAGACTGTCACCATTAACATGTTCAGCCTTTTTTCTCTATTTTTTGGGGGGGGGGGGTATATTTTTTACTGTGATGGAGCCACTCCATGGGGCCAGTAATAGGAAATATAACTGATGCTGACCAGTTACCAAGAAATATACAGTGAATAATCAAGTACATATTTATTAGCATTACTTTCATTTATTCCTCACATTTACTGGTACAGCATATCTTATTTTATGTACAAAGAATAGCTTCTTCCACAGGCTCAGCCAGGCAGTTACCAGGGGTAGGCAGAGCCCCCTGTATCCCGTGTGGGTTGCACGTGTTGCGCCACTCTGAGATTGTCATAATTTTTCGGAATATTACGAGTTACTGCACATCAATTTTTCAAAGCAGTGACAATGCAGATAAAGCATTCGGGTAGCCATCCAGTAGCGACCATTGTAAATCCGATCTTAGCCATAGGATAGCAGTACTTGGTGTAATTTTCTTAACATCGTATATTAATCATAATGTATAACCTTCAACACCTATATAAAGAAACTGAATAATGAAGAGCTCTATATTAACCCAACACACCTCATTCTGCCAGCCAATCAGCTGCTTTGATAAAAACCTGCTTTAGGCTCATGTGAACAAAGTGTACCTTAGTGAGCTTTATTACCAAGAGATATCACATTCTATAATATCATAAACCAGTAACTAATAAACAAAATCTTATTATACACTCCTTCCAATTCCTCTTGTCACTGACCTCTGTGTCCTGGTGGAAGCACTGGGATGCTGATAAGTACCCGATCCTTTTGTAGGTAAATTTGGGAGAGCTCATCACCTCAATGATGTTGAAGCCAGCCCAGCTGATGTCATATCCTAGCATTTGTAACTGAACCAAATTAAAACAATCAATCATTATTTGAATCATAAAATTTATTCACGTAAAACTAAAGAACACAAAGTCATAAAGAAAAGCTGAAGAATAAATTTGGTTAAAAGTTTAGCTTAATACACCTATATACTGTACAAGTACTTTACTGTATATGCTATTTATTTTATAATACATTTTCAAACCACTTAGATTTACACTCAAAGTTATAAGTCGACCCTTCGTTTGCCATGGAATCATTAGCTACCACCAAAAAAAGGAATGGGGATTCCTTTCAACATTGACATTCAGCCATTTTGTTGAACAAATTCTCCTATACTGTACAGCATTCTCTGTATAATATAATCTGTTTACTCCATTTGTCCTTCTGGTTTTAATTACTTTTCAATTTGCTTATACAGTACTGTACTGTACATTTCTAGTTGATTAAACTTGCTGAGGTATTACTATACTCATCTTTTATTCATGTTCTTGTTTCCCAGTGCAAGTAGGTGTTGACTGCACCATCCAAACTACCAAATCAAAATGTATTTTTCCATTCTTGTAATCCCTTTCCCTCTATGATAAAGACTGTGTGGAATCTCCCTCATTCAATGCCATTTGTGCAGCATGTCACAAAGTGCTTCTGTAGCTACTTTAGTATGAACACACAAACACAAGTTAAACCATCAATAACAATAAACAGTGTGTTTACTTCTCCTCCAGTATTAATGTGCTTCAACAGCTCAGTGAGGCCAAATAATGTCATAACACCAGAAATCTTTGATATACTGTAGTAAGCTGTAAATCTAAACTCCAGTATGGTAACTAAAGCTGTAGGTAATACTGTACTAAACACTGTACCCTGTACTGGCATCTCTGACAGTCCTAACCAAATGTCAATTTATTTTTATTAAAAGATCATTAAGTAATAATTCCACAAATAATTTTACAATCAAATGAGAAAAATGAAAGAAAGATCTTCAAGAAGAATCAGTTAATGCCTATTTGAGAACTACCAGAGAGACAAATATGTATTGTATAGATACACATATAGCCATTTATTCAGTGAAAATTGTCATACAAATTCACATCAATGGTTACTTTTAGCATGTTAAGTGAAAGTATACAAATAATGGCAAAGAGTGTGTCAATTGAGCCAGGGATAGCTCAAGAAAGTCATAAAAAACTTAGTTCCACTGGCATCCATAACAAAACATGCTTCACAATTCAGATCAAAGATAATTACTTACATAAGTGAGCTTGGCAACAGCATTGGCCTTCACAGCAAGGTTGTCTTGCCGTAACTCTGTCTTTATCTCTTCCATACATTGTGATATGTATTTTGACTGAAAAAATGAAAAATACAGTAATTAACAGTACAGTACAATGTTCCTTTCTATGATCAAAATAAGGCCAAATAGAGCAAATTATAACAAGTACAGTATGTAATGTACAGTACTTGCAACATTCAACTTGTATATACTGTACTGCATGACTACCTTTTACAGTACAGTACTGTAATCTAGACCACTTGTTTCCCAACAGCCAGCATATTCAGCAATTCATCATTAATTCTTCAATTGTACATTTTCTCTTCTTTCCACACATGCGCAGTGGGATAATGTAAGAAATGAGTTGTGTTGGTCAATGTCTATTTCTGCAACATTTGTTAACTGGTAAGAAGAAAGCTATAGGTTTATTGTACTACACTATACAGTACTTCAATTTTTTGGTCTTGCACTATTACCCTTATTCACCAGCTTCCAGCAGAATTGCTAAAAAAAATGGGCAAGAATGGGATGAAATGTTTGATTAAACTATGTAAGTCTATATACATGTACAGTGAGTTCTGCTATAACGCGTGTTTTGACAACGCGAATTGGCTCTAACGCGATTTATGAATAGAGGAACGATATTTGCATAACGCGAACGCTTGTTTGCTGTAACGCGATTTTTGCTTACTATTTCTCCAATCTTGTGGTATTAACTGTGAATATGGTAAAGAAGAATATCTCCAAGAACCATTCTGGTGATCACATTCCCGGTGATGATCGTAAAAGAAAGGTTATAACCCTTGAAGAGAAGCTCGATGTTATCTACCTCAAAATCACCCTTTTCCCCCATCAAGTTATATTCATATTTTTTCACGGTAAAGTGTTACATTTACTGTATGATTTCATTATTAGATATGAATGTAAAATTTATTTAGACTGTGCTATCCTTTGTGTTAGGCTAGTACGAAATTTTTTTTCGATTTCGAGTAGTAATCTGCACCTAACCCTATTTTCTCCATAAGCCCTGTTATTTCTATTATGCAAATTTCTATAACACGATGTTTTACAAGAACACAACTATCGCATTATAGCAGAACTGACTGTTCTTCAAAGGAAACCTTTCCGGTAATTTCCAAAAATCAATATTTGAATTACTGTAATACCTAAAAAGCCAAGTGCATTAGAGTGCACCCAGTTTAGAACAAAAAGCTTTATAAATAATGAGGATCATATACAGTAGTTGGAAACAAAACTCTATACGTAATGGGTTTTGATTCAACTCCAATATCCTACGAGTAGCAATTGTTGGTAAGTGAACTATGGTAATGTTCGTAAACTTATTGTTCCTCCTCAAGGAGAAGGACTGATGGAGAAGACAGCCTTATAGTTTTTCAATGGCATCCGTATTGTGTCGTGTTCGGTACAGTATCATATCACAAGTTATCTGTGCTTGTGGAGGCTAGAGACCATCTCCAAGAGTTCATCATTCAATATGGACTAGATGACAAGAGATACAAGTGTTCAAAACACAGCAAAGAACTGACAGTGAAGAAGAAATATGTTAAGAAATGAATGACAATCACATCGAGCATGTTTATTACAATTCATAGCTACTGGGTTGAATTAATTCACCTTTTTTAGAGATTTTGTTCGGATGATAGTAAGAAAATCTAAATGAATCGAAATGACAATGCACAGGTTAGGAAGTTAGATGAGATTAGGTAGGTTAGGTAAGGTTAGGTCAGGTTCTACTAGGTTCTGTGCATTCTCATTTCCATTTTTGTGTTCATTATCATGTAAACAGTATCTCAAAAATTTTGTTCAATTCCTTAAGTTATTTATTGGTGCTAACCACCTCCTCTAATTTTACCCAAAAAAATTTAGGTTAGGAAATTTTAGATTAGGTTCTCAAAGGTTTGATTAATTTTTTTTTTTTTGGAAGTAGCTAAATTACTGGTCATGGCAATAGCCCCAAAACGCCTGTCGAGCTATTTTATGTGACCAGTAATTCAACCTAACCATTTTTTTTGGTGTTTTAACCCCACTTTTCCCTTCTTCTCCAAAGCCCTGCCCACTTTCTGCAAATCATTGACGTATCTCCATAAATATACATCAGCGACTAAAATAAAAGTCACGCTTTATTCTTTTGAATTACAGTAAGTCCTCGCTTAACGTCGGGGTTAAGTTCCTGAAAATGCGACATTATACAAAATAACATTAAGCGGATAAACTCTCCCCATAAGAAATAGATAAAATACGGGACTTACGTTCCTGAGCCTCCCTTTGCCCCATGAAATACATTACATATACAGAAAATCATTGCCATTTCTATAAAAAATAGTGCATACATACACAACTTCCAAGTTTGTATAGGTACTCACCGATGGGCGAGGTGGTGTCTTGTAAATGAAAGGAAGGTGATCCTTAGAGTAACCTTTCAGGGCCCGTGGGTTGGCAATTCGAGAAATGAGCATAGGCTTCATCTTGAAGTAGCCGGCAGCGTTCGCGCCAAACAGCAGCGTCAAGCGGTCTTTTGCCGCTTTAAAACCTGGCGCTCCTTTCTCCTCCTTGGAGTTAAAGGCCCTCTCAGGCATCCTCTTCCAAAAGAGACCAGTCTCATCCACATTGAAGACTTGCTTTGATGAGTAGCCTCCATCCTGGATAATCCGTTTGAATTCTGGCGGGAATGTCTCGGCAGCAACCATATCTGAACTGGCAGCTTCACCAGTCATCTTAATATTGTGGAAGTTATAACGATGCCTAAATCGTTGAAACCATCCTCGGCTGGCCGTAAAGGTCTCTTCTTTCGATCCTTCACCCTCTTTTGCCTTTAAGTCATCAAACAAGGATCTGGCCTTATGCTGGATAAACATAAGGCTCACAGGGGCATTGCATTGATTCTGGTCCTCTATCCACATTGCCAGCATCTTTTTCACCTTTTCTATCACAGTGCTTCTAGTACGAGTTGTCTTAGTTGCACTCAGAGAAGAACCACTTCCAGCTCTAACCTTAATCTTGTCAGCGTTGGTCCGGATAGTACGCACTGTTGTGGGAGTTAGACCAAGCACAGCGGCTATGTCCACAGCACGTTCCCCTTTTTCAAAACGGGCTAATACATCCATTTTCGTAGCCAGGGTAATGGTCTTACGTTGCTTCTTCACTACACTAGCATCAGTAGCACTTGATGGGTGCTTGGAAGCCATTTCGAATGGTTAGAGTACAGTACAGTTTTAGAGCAAAAGCACTTAAGCACAGACGAATGATGTGAAGTCGTAACAAAGACTGGCTGTGATGTTCCGCGAGTGAGGGCAGCGCGCCGAGCCGAGAGAGCATAGCACGGCCAGACAAGAGCAGGTGATGAGCCGTAGAAAGTAGTCGATGACGACGCAAAACGACGTAGTATCGGACCACCGGGACGTTAAATGAATTTTTGGTCTCTAAAGTTTAGCGACGTAAAACAGAAACAACGTTAAGCGGGACGATGTTATACGAAGACTTACTGTACCACGAAAAACAAAACACTATTTTGGTTGTTAATTTGGCACAGGATATAGGTGTGGCATCCATATGTAAAACACCAATGTTTATTGGTAAGGCAGCCTAATGCACAAGCATGGTGGGCAAACTATACAATGATAGTTACTAAGATAGCCTTCTTTCTGACTAAACTATCCTAACCTAACATATGTAAACTAACCATTTAAGTCCATCAATACGGCTGCCTTACCTATATGCACTATGTACTGGTATCAATTTCCCATTACAATCACTAACAGATCTTTACCAATTTTTACAGTACTACTAGGGCAGACGGCTAACACCAGAAAGAGTTTTTTATTTCACTAAATTTTTCCACAGATGTTCTTTGGATAACAGTAAGTAATAAAAAGTATATGATAAGGGGGCGAAAAAACAAGAGTAAAAACATATTAAAAATAGAAGAGAAAAAGATTATACAGTATTAATCTACACAGACAGATTGTATGAGTACGGAAACACAGAAGGAGGCAGAGCATTCCACAGTTTGGCTGTGTGAGGAAAGAAGGATGTACTATAACTGGTTATTCTAGTGTGACTGACACCACAGAGAACCGATGGGCACAAAGGGCAAGACGAGTGTTAAGAGCCCACAGCCTTGCCGGCGGTACACAGGATGCCAAATCCTCTGAACATTGCCCGTTAAAGTACCTGTAAAAGAGAGAGAATGAAGCAACATTGTGCGAAGAGAAAGGGAAGAAAGATTATGAACTAAAGGAGGAGAGTTAATAAGACGAAATGCCTTTGATTCCACCCTATCTAACAGTTGGACAGAAGAGCCACCCCAGATATGAGAGCAGTACTCCAAGTTAGGACGAATGAATCCCTTATATTCTGAAGCAGCTTTAGAGGAAATGGTGAGGCCTAGCACATCTATTTTAGAATTTGGCAAAATGATAGCGTCCTGAAATGTGATTGGTGGGAGATCATCTAATTTGGAAAGCATGATTGGTAAATACTGAGTTTTATTACTATTGAATTTAACGAAGTTTCTACCTCCCCATTCGGAGATGCTACACAGATCCGCATTGACAGATGTAATGATATCAGCTCTAGAAACAGATCTAGTTTGAGAATTAGGAGGAAGGGGAAAATGTGAAGAGTAGAATCATCAGCGTAAGATTGGATAGAATTAGTCGTAGTGTGAAGTAAATCATTGATAAAAAGAAGGAACAAAGTAGGTGAAAGAACAGAACCCCGTGGGACACCACTATTGGTAGAGAAAGAGCGAGAGATCGATCCCTCAACAACAACTGCCACGGATCGGATCTCAAGGAAGCTAGAAATTAGAGAACAAAGTGGGGGAGAGAAACCATAAGAGGGAAGTTTAGAAAGTAAAGACTTGTGCCATACCCAGTCAAATGGTTTGGAGATGTCGAGGGCCACGACGAAAGTTTTTCATGATCCCAAAAGAGAAGATGACCAAAGATGGGTGCAGTAAGAGAACAGATCCTCCGCAGAAAAATCTACCGTGTTGTCATCTGTTCTGTTTGTTTCAGTGAGACAACCTAGCCACTCAATCTGAGTGTACTCTCACATCCACAAAAAACGTAAAATTACACCATGTCACTTCAAGAAAGTTGCTTTCATTGATGCCAGATATCAAAGTAAGTTCTTTCTTTTTAGCTATTATAAAGGGTGGTCCGCCCCCCCGGCTATGACTTTAGGTTGGTTAGGTCAGGTTCTATTAGGTTGTGTTGTATGGTTTGTATTACTAACATCCAAGGAGCATGTGGAAAATATGAATGATAAAGAACAACTCCTTCTGGTCATAGGCGTCAGCACCACCTTCCCCATATTTATTAAAAGGATCATATTAAAAAATACATGCATTAGGGAGGGGTACAATTCCTTAACCTTTAGTAAACTGTCAGTGTCAAACATCATACAGTAATAATAACAAGTCCTACAGATAAAAAACCCAATTATCTTGAATAAAGTAACATTATGATGTATACATTATAATACCCCTTTAACAACATTAACAGTGGAATATTTAAGATAACTCTAACTAATAATAACAGCTGTCAATATACCTTAACTTATTATAAACAATAAACCACCAGCTGGATCTTACCTCAGTCTCCTTGTTATTTCTAATACCTCTCACCAGATCAGTCAAATTCTTATCAAACATCCTCTCCAAATTACCCTTCACCTTCCTAAGAGCCATATTTCCATAGATATTAAATGATCTTTGTGTTAATATGATGATAAAAGCTACATATTTAAGAGCCACTGAGAGGTACAGGTAGTAGGCCGAGTCATGTGACCTGTGACGTTGCTCTTCCCCCCACAAACCTCTAACTCAGGGAACAGTTGAAGCTCTAACCTCTAATGTCTAATTGGGTTATTAACTGATAGATAAATAGATAGATAATTTGGGATATAGTAATATTTAGTCATAGTGAAGTAGGTAAATAGTTAGTTAATTAACCAAAGGAATAACTAATCCAAAAAAGATGTTAAAGTCTTTTTCCATATATTAAATTATATTATCTAGTTAATAAGATAAAAGTATTCTATTATATCTATTTACACTGATAAATAATATTATATTTAATCTTTTTAAAGCCATTGATATACTGATAAATAAAACTCAATTTTCTCTCTAAAAATACTAATCACTAACTTATTTACGACCATCTATATAACAAAATTATAAAACTTTCTATACATAAATATTAACAATTAATAATATATATATAAAAGGTTAATGAAGGATATTATTTAACTATTGTATTAGTGTATAGAGTAACACAGGTAGTGGGGTATCAACAAACCCATGCACCTCAGTAACTCCTAAGTGTTTGTGGTGATTTAGAGAATATTTAAGGTATTAATATATTTATAATTATTCTATATATGTCAAGGAATGTATGGTGTATTATGTGTGATGATTATATAATGTGGGTTTAGTTTTATAGAGTAGATTAAGGGAAGTTAACCCCAGTGTCTTGTCACGTGTGGTGTTAATTAATTATATCCTGCTATATAGTCTCCTTAACATTATAATTTCCCTATAGTAAATATAATCTGATATTACCATCATCATTGTTATCATTATTATTACTATAGTTAATATTAAACATTAAAAAATGATGAAATAATTTGCTTTTGACATTACAGACTGTATTCATGAAATTTTTAAACCATTTAATTATCTCTTTGGTAATATATTTGTAAAGGGTATTCTATCTCACTATATCTTACACAATTGTCATCTTGTTTTATGTTTTAAATTTTTAGTCTGATTAGTTGGTTGAGTTTTATGATTGTACCTATAATGAAACCTCTCTGGTGAGGATCCACATACAGTATTTACATGTAATAATAGGTAAGAATAGGTTTTTTGGGGCGTTTTTTGAAGTGTCTTACTCAAATCTGACCTTCATTTCTTGTGCAAATTAGCAGTTGTTGCAAAAACTAAATTTTTTATTTTTTAACAAACGGGTAATTTGCACGGAAACAGAGGTCAGATTTGAGTAAGACGCCAAAAAAAAAAAAAGCCTATTCTCATACCAAAAGAACCAACCTACCTAACCTAACTTACAAGGAGGAGAAGGAAAGGAAGAGACAACTGACTTTTAGTGAGGAGTATAACCTCGGGTAAACATGGCAGGAACCTGCGGACAGCCAATCGACGAATATTAAGGTTAAGTTTAGTTATAAAAATGCTGCAATTTCACTGTTTTATAGTTAAATAGTTTGTGCTTTTTTTTTTACCCAACCTAACCTAACCTAACCTAACGTACCTTAACATATAACCTAGCATAACTTAACACCTACAATGGGCAAACTTACCATTGCTGTGACGGGGGAAGCAGCGAGCCACGGCGTTGAGGAAGTGATGAAGAATTGTGCCGTGGTCTCGGTGAATGTGGCTGCTTGATTTTCTTATTAATTACTTTCTTTTTACACTGGAACAAATTCCGGCAGCAGAATCCAAATACAGTACTGTACAGTATATGTTGAAAGGGTTGTTTTTTATGCACAATCCAGTATATAATGAACTGTTCAACATTATTACCTATAATTTTGAGTCTGTTAATTAACATGTTTTCTTGTTTTGTGGGACGTTCATCACACCAGTTGTTTTACTGTATGTCTAATGTTTGTGATAGCTTTCCTGGAGGGAACATATATTTATCTGTAATATTGTTTTAAGCTTGTCGAGTGCTAACAATGCTTGCCTTCTGTTCCTTGGTTTAGTGATTCAATCCCCAGTCACTCTCGGTTCACCCAGCTGTAAGTGGGTACCTAAGTTTATAACTTGGGGAAGTGAATGCAGTTGAATGTAATATGGGCCTTGCTGCCTCTGAAGGCTTAGTATACGGTGTACCATATCAACACTGTCCTTAATAGGTAGTAATGCCTATAGGACCCACTTTCACTTTCAGGTACTGTATCTCATACGTAATTCACAGAAAATCTTGCATCTCTTGAATCTTGTGCCTTATCATGTCGACGTGGGAATTCTGGTAAGTTATACAGTACTGTACACTATAGAGCAGTGGTGTCAAACTCAAAAGCTTCCAAGGGCCAATTCTTATTTTAGTTACCCTCTTCAGGGTCAGCACAAGTGCTATATCACATATTTGCAGGATTGAGGTTTACAGCTTCACACATTGCCTTACCTGGAATACCTCATTTGGGTTTGTCTGATCTTATGTACATGCATTATTTTTGGGCTACAACTTATTATAGATTTCCATTTGTGTTTTGAAACGCGTACATTGGCGAAGCCAAGCGCAAGGCGAGTCTGATGCAACCGTCATGTGTACAAAGTTTCCCTACAAATCTTATATATATTCATCTATTTCTATCATAATTTCACCGTCATCCCGCGGGTTACACCTGACCATCCCATTTTGTTGTGCTTTCCTAGTTTACACAACCTTGATGTAGACTATGAGTAACTTTGTAGATTATTTCTCCGATTATTTTCATCATTCTTTCTTGTTTCAGATTAGTTTTGACCATCATGGGGCGGAGGAAATCACGACAGAAAGTGCACAAACAAGGTGAATTGTTTGCAGTGCATGATGAAATGATGGCGCTGGACATTGGTAGTGGTGAGAGACCAAAAAGTGCTAAACAAAGTTCAAAATTGAGGAAAAAAATTAAAAAGCAGTTGAAAAGGGAAATGAAGCAGATGGAGCAAATGGGAAAGCATGGTGAAAAAGGCAAAGCAAAAATTTCTGGGTGGCATAGAATTCAGGTGCAAGGTGGAGCCACAGTAGAAAAAGATTTCCTTTTCTCAAGCATTGGAAATTTTGTGGATGTGGAATTTCAACCACTTGGTTTTTATATGATCGATTCCACGAGTTGTTTTTATTTAGAGGCAAATGAGCCAGCTGCAGCTGCTATTGCAGGACTTAATAAAAGAATCCAAGGATCTGATGGAAGTCGCTTGAAAATTTCAGCATTAAAAAGTATTGTCCCAGATTTGGTGCTTAACTCAGATCAGCTACAGGTGCTACGGGAGGTTATGTCACGCCGCTTCAATCCAACAGCCTGTTTATTGGACCTAACTGATCTACATCATGACCCAGTATTGCTGGAGAAGGATATACTTGTACCTGTTTGTTCTCCAGTTGTCATGAAACAAGTATTACGATTGATCAAGGAAAATGTTCCCCAGTTAAAGGCTCTTAACCTCAGTAAGAATCATTTACGTGTAGGTAACTTGAAATTGCTTCAAGATATACATTCTGACACCACGCAGCTGTCTGCCTTGAATTTAGAACGCAATAATATTGCTGATTTACACGGGATATTGAAATTTATAAAAATGTTCCCTTTAACAGAACTGAATTTGCAGTTCAATCCACTCATAAATCAATACAAGGAGAATCCATTGAAATATGTACTGGCAGTGAAAAAACAACTTGAATCCCTGAAAATGTTGGATACTGTAGATGTCGATACATATATTGCAGAAAATAAAATGTCAAAAAATAATAAGAATTCAGAAAGTTCTCCAAGACTCGATGTATGTGAAAGCACCTCAAGCAGCAGTTCCAATATAATGTCAGAAGTTATGATACGAAATTTTTTGGAACAGTACTATGCTCTCATTGATACCCAGCAACGTGACAACCTAGTTGCAGCATATACACCAGATGCTGTTTTGCAAGTTAAGTCAAGCTTAAGTGAAATTACCAGCAATATTTTTGTAGGTCACAGTAAAATAACTGAGGCCCTAAGTGCTCTTCCTGCTACCCAGCATCAGCATAACTCATTTTCCTTAAATATTCAGTTCCCAAGTGTAAATACAGCCTTGGCAGTTGTAACAGGTCATTGTCAGGTTTCTGGTGTTGATACAGCAGTCACATTCTCTAGGTCAATGAATATTGTACCTTTTAATGCAGGTCTTTGTTGTTCCCAGGATGTTTTAGAACTAAGATGAACTGAGGTTTAATGAACACTACAAAAGTTGGATTTCAATATAGACAACTTATACACAAAGTGAAATGTTTTATTTCTTATACGTATACTGTATAACCAAATACCATATGGTACTTTCTTGTAAATATATTTTGACTTTTTTGGTAATTTAAAATTGTAAGTGAGGATTTAAACAAAATGGCTGCCAATCTGTGAGAAATATTGAGTACAGTACTATACTACTTTTATGACTCAAACTAGTCGAATTTGTGGTGTACTAATATTGTGGAAGGTCACCTCATCTGCATATTCTTGTGCTTTGAATTTCTGGGAGTGGACTTGTATTGTTGGCTGCGAGTCATATTTTAAGATAAATTACTTTTTGTGTAGTATTATATCTTAGTATGATTCACATTATGATTTGCCCCTATAGTGTAGAGGAAGACCTAACGTGATATTAGTTTGCACAAGCAATAGTGGAACATATGATTTTACATGCATATACTGTATAGTACAGTATAGTTTATGGTTCATTTTTGCAAAGATTCCAGAATCAACCCCCTGTGTGACCATGTAGGTCACACACTTCTTTGGTAAGTTTCTTTAATATTGTAGTAATATTTTGGGGGGTGAGAATTGCCTACCAATATTTTGATCACTGGTACATCTGCTGATTTAGTGACTTATCATCTAAAAGTTTCTCAGAATGACACTTGTAAAGTATGGACGAGCCCCGTGTACTCCAACTATATTGTGAAATGCCATGAAAATGTTTAATGCATTCCAGTGTTGAGCAGTTTGGGCTGTTAGCTCAACTCAGGGTAGTGCTTTTATGGAGAATATGCTGTATGTTCTCATCTCATTTATATTGTAAGTACACTTTCATAGGCTTGATAGGCATTTAGTTATTCACCATATACTCTTAAGTTGTTTGTACAAAGAAATGTGTCAAATAAATTTGTTTGTGTGAACTATCTGTTTTCAATACAAAAAAGGACCTTGGTGGTAGCATGGCATCATCATCACCGTGTAAATATAATTTAATTCAGATGGGGTTTATGCTGTAATATGGATAATTTTTGTAAGCTTGGCTGAATATTTTACAGTATTATGTCAAATTCTGAGGAATTAACTCCTCTTATACAAGGATTACAATTACCAGTACCATCATGATTCACTTAGGATATATAATATTAACTATTTATCATGTATTACACAAGATCATGATATAATGGACAAAAGTAATCTTAATGTATATACATACAGTACCATTATAAGTACTGAACTCGTATACATAAATGGATGCTAGTGAGTGTATGCAATCATTTTCATCATTAACCAATACCAATCCACTGCTAATTAAAGGCCATCACGCTCTCACACAAAGTTCTATGCTCATTACACTTACCCAAAAAACTTTTAATGTTATCCCATCCATCAGCTGGTGAAGTCACAGACTTGCTCTGTCCCAGGTGGGTGTTGGTGGTACTGGTGGTGGAAGGCCACTTATGTGAATCACTGCTAAAATGGGTGGCTCTAAATGGGGTCCACCTGTACTTCTTTCCCAGTGTATCATGTGAAGCATTACTTCTTTCACCTTTTCATGCCAAGCTACGAACAATAAAGGGCATTTTACCCTCGTCTGTATTTGTATAAGATTTTCCATATGTAACTGTAAAACCACAGGAAACCCAAGTACAGATACTATATCTTTATTTCTGTAAGTTATACATTGTAAGTCTTCTTAATAATAAAAGAAATCAATGCCTCAAATCATAATTTAATTTCAAAATTAATAATATGGTAGTATAAAATTAATTTTATTTGTGCCTTAAGTGATTAATAATTCTTCAAATGTGTTCTCCTACTACGCAGCCAAGGATTAGCTATCCAGAACAACATACTGTACAATACTGTATATTTATGACTCTTATATCAGCTGTGATTCTACAACAGTAACTTTCTGCAACTGTGATTTACAAGAATCCATATTAAAGTTACTGTTATTATCTGATACTTTAGTGCATATCAAAGGTGATGAGATAAAGAATCTGCCTTTCAATTTATTTTCATTTTAAATTTTAAAAATCCATTACAATCTCTCTTAAAGGTTGAAATAAAACTAACCTTATTGTCTAACATTAATGGCAGTCACTACAACTAAATTTAAAAAAAAAGTAATAAAAGCATTACAGACTACAGTATACTCTCAAAGAAAAGAGCTGTCAACAGCTTGTACCTCTATGCACTATCCAAATGTATGATAGCTCACGTATCACCAGGAAACTGAAAGAAAAACAATTTGGTATTCAACAAATAATCCTTACTGATACACATGACTGAATATCTTGTCCACCAAGCCAAGATACTGCTGTGGATTCAATCTTTGTCTAAGGCATCAAGAAATTTGTATGTACTTTTAGTTTTGTGCAATGGGAATGACTTTTTCATCACTTCCAACAATGGATGGGAGGGGTGATTCCACAGTCAACACTCCATCTTTTGAAAGGGAAGATTTGATGAGTTCTGGATTTGTGCCCTTGGGGAGCAGGAACTCTCGATTGTATTCACGGTATACAGATCGACTATCAGTTTTCTCTTCATGTTTGGCATGGACCTGTTGATAGAAAGGTAATTAGACAAGAGAAAAGAACAGATGTCCACAATGAAAAATTAAAATGTTGTCTTTATTTTCTTAATACATGTACTGTACTGTACTTTAATTTTATTATAATTATCCAACATTTAATTTTTGTCATCTATACATATTCATAATTAACAACTACTGTATATTATTCATAAAAGGAAATGTTCACAGTTTTAGAAAAAATATATAGGACTGACAATGCAATGTATGTATATTATCACTGTGTGTATTCTGTTGCTAGAAGCTCATTGGTACCTTCTAGAACTTTTACCAATAGTAAGTGATTGACAGGTATTGATATAAGTAAGAAAAAATAGCTACCCCAGCAATTAGTAAGCTGATGATGACGAAGAGGGCAAATGTATTGTAAAAGGGCATCAAAATAATAACTTGTCTAGTTTATTCCCTTTTATGCCTCTACCCTTAAGTACAGTACAGTGTGTTGTATGTATTCTTATTCTAGATTTGAAATGAACAATGCATTAAAGAAATGAAACAAATCCAGTTTATACAATTTTCTCATTCATCCATGCATAATGTTTCAATTTAAATACAGGGGGTCCGCGGCTTAAGAACGGGTTCCGTTCCTGAAGATGTTCTTTGGTCGAAAATGTATGCAAGTCAAAACACATGCTATGTGCATACCATACTTACAGAGCAATGTTTAAAATCCCACTATATCATAGCCCAAATCTTTGTATATTGTACATCTAAAATCACTTAATTTAAGAGAAAAAAAATTTGAATGACAAAATACAGTAAATGAAAGTAAAAAATAAATCATCAGGTAAATAAAATACTGTAAATTTCAAGTTTAACCTCGTTTGTATAGGCATGTACAGTATGTGTTCGTAAGTCGGGGACCCCCTGTACAGTACTGTATGTATGTATTGTACAGTCAACCATAAATTACTTTTACACCTTCGGTGTCAAACAATATGAATAACCAGCGAAAAATTCTGTATAATGCTCTCGTATCTGGCTTCATGATGGTAGCCCTGCTTTCCCTGATATAGGAATATATGGAGGTACCAAAACCCTACAGTATTCCTGTCACTTATCGTAATGCAATTTCCATTTCTGTAATTCTAAAATGTTAAGTTCATTGTATTATGAACCAAAGAATACAAATTGAATGTAAACAAGTACTGTACTGTAACAGCATATCCTGAGAACACTGAGGACTTGTTAACCATTTTTGTATGAGATCCCCCCTGTGGTGAATAAAATCGTCTGGTCTTAGCCAAATAAAATATTAAAAGAGAAGGGTTAAATTATTAATTTGAGGAACTCATATTTCAGTAAATGTTTATTAGCTATTGCACTGTACAGGGGGTCCCCGACTTCTGAACGCCAGCCAATACGAAAGGGGTTTAACTTGAAATTTACAGTAAAATCTCCATTAGCCGGAATCCATCAAACCCGGAACTCTGATAGCCGGAATTGAAATTTTCTCGAAAAATCATTCCCAAAGCTGGAATTTTCTGGAAATTTACGGCTTTGGGAACAATTTTCTGAGGGGCACATTTTGAGGGAAATTTTCTTGATACCCGGAAAATTCCGGGGATAGGGGATTTTTTTCCGGGTTTGAGAGATGAAAATCGGGCGTATTTTCTGGTAATTCCGAGAAAATTTTTCCGTTTCCTGGAAAATTACGGGGATGAGGGATTTTTTCCGGCTTAGAGAGAGTTGTCTTTGTTACCAGGAATCTCTCATTCCTGGAAGTGCTCTGCACCAATTGTTCCAGTTAATGAGGATATCACTATTTTATTTACCTGATGACTTATTTTTTACTTTCATTTATACTGTATTTTGTCATTCTATTTCTTCTTTTCTCTTAAATTAAGTGATTTCAGATGTATATAAGGACTTAGGCTATGAGATAGTGGGATCTTAAACATTGTTCTTTAAGTACAGTATGCACATAGCATGTGTTCTGACTTGCGTACAAATTCAACTTAAGAACGTCCTCTGGAACGGAAGCCATTCGTAACCCAGAACCTTCTGTAATGCTTATCAACATTATCAATGTTTTATTTTTAATTTTTACTGTTGGTCACATTACTGTATTAAACAATAAATATAAAATTCTTGGTGAATGTTAAATACTGGTACAGTACAGTAGTTGAAATGACATATTTAGTGCCAAGCCATTTTCAAGACATTTTTGGTCCCTTTAAAATGAAAAATCAAAGAAACAAAAATAAGGGAAATTACATTGTAATCTTGCTTACCAAACCTATCAAAACAGGAGAGGTATAGTGTTCATTTTGAAGTCAAATGAACTCTGGGGTAAAAGTTATTGATGGTCTGACTGAACATAGGAATAACGTTACTCGTTGCTTACCAAAAGTTTATTATCAACAGTCTTTACAACAATTTCCTCTGGCTTGTACTGGCTGACATCAAACCGGAGCTTGAGCTGCTTACAATCACCATCTTGCTGGATAAGAGGGGAGTTCATCCCTTCCAGCCAAGACCCAGTGCCCTGGTTGGAACTAGCTTGATCCTGTTGGCTGTAAGAAAAAGTACTAGTTAGCCAATCTGTTGTCATAGAAATCATAATTAGTAAATATATTATGGATTACAAATACAGAACTTGTACTGTAGACAAATGCTTTTTTGATACAAAGACTTGTACAAGTTGATGACGTTTTGGTAAGAGAGATACTGTACAGTAATAAGCTTAAATTTCAAATTCCTTCCAAAAGAGTAAAGTGAGCACAGTACAGTAGTTCCGTATTATATCCTAAAATATCCATAATGACTACATAATTCTGAGGATTTTTTAATGTTAATTGAATCAGATAAATAATGACTGGTATGAGAATTCAATGAATATATAATGACTGAAACTGTAAAAGAGAAGTGTGCGACGATGTAGTCCTTGAAAAGTCACAAGGCTGAAAGGATATTGAGGATGTATGAACATGTGGAGAGAGAAATTCATATTGTTATTACAGGCCATCAAGTTTATGGGACCCATTACAGTTGGAGGTAAGAGGGGGAGATGAATGCAGTTATTGAGTGAGCTGTTAAGATGTGAGATGTCGGTGGGGAATACCTTTGGAATAATTGTTGCTTTGCATATACAGTGTGGTGGGTAAAAGGGTACAGTCATTAGGTTTCATGAGTATGAGTACTGAGCTGGCAGTCCATTGGTTGTAGATCTGAATCACCACTGTAGAGGCAATGTATTAATGATATATGTACAGAACTGTACTGTACAGAGATTGCCAGAATTGTACCAGTAATATACTGTAGTACAAGTAGGTTGCAAATAGTTTGTCAAATAGAAAAACTGATTCACAAATATCCAGATCAGAGGGAAAGATAAACCTATCATCTCAAACTATCTGTGATATATTGTATACTGTAAAGCCCATATGGTTGAATTATACCCTGGGTTGACTTGTAAATTCCAAGGTGCACTAGGCAGGGCAATCTTAGTACAGGTCATGTTAGAAAAAAAATGCGGGGGGGGGCTCCATTAGTCTAAAATAAAGCAGTAAAATTCTTTGTTAAAATATCCCGAGAATTATTCTATGGGACTGTAATCTAATATGGTCATAATTATCAAACAGCAAACTTTACCTAAACTCTTTGATGTAATATTATTGTAAAAACGGGTATAAAGACTCATGTTGTCCTCTTCATATTGTTTTTACAAACTTCAATTTAATCTAAAGTCCAAGACCAAGGAAAATAAGTTAAACCCAACTATAAGCACAACTATGATCAGTTATAAAAGTTTTGAAGGTACTGCACTGTATTCCAGTGTTTTTATGGTTTGTTGTCTTTGCAAGATGAAAGCAAGTCAAACTGTACAGTAGATATACTCTAATTACATCCACTATGAGATGTTTGTTTGGCATGCTGTACAGTAATGAAGTAAAAATTGACTTACTATATTTTCAAAGTACTGTACTGTACTGAGCACCTCCTGAGGATGCATGTAAACAATATTTTGAAACCCCTCCCATAATTTCGGGATAAATTAATGAAGGGGGTACTACTGAGGATGAACAAATATGAAATCACATCACCATAAGTTATTACCAAAAGTGTGACATGATATTACAGTAGCTACCTCTTTCTTTACCTAGCTGCCACCACATCTAGTACTGTAGTAATCTGTATGAAATGGATTTAGCCCATAATAAACTCATCATTTTAACCATCGAAGATACCATTACATTAACTGAAATAAAAAATTATTTATGAAGGGTCCATTACCTCAACCTTTGTGTTTCCCTTCTTTTTTAAGTGTGGGATATCTCTTAATATGTCGTCTAGTAATGTACCCTTGAGTAAAGTGGTGGGATCCTTCATGTCTCGTCTCAAATGTTGACAACTCCAGCTGGTATACCACAGACCTAAATTTGGCTGGTGGGCCCACTAATTGTAGTAGTCTACCCTCAGTTGAAATGGTGACCCTAAATCTAAGATGATGGACCCCGTTATGAGATTGTTTATGTCCAGTTGAAGTTAATGACTCAAAAAACTCGAGATGACATGTCTTTAAAATTTAGGTGCCCCATTGTTAGATTGCAGTAGTAGCCCCATAATTGAATTGGTGGATCTCTTAGTTGAGTTCCAGTACTGTCAATACTGGAGATCTAGACCTTCACTCTAAGGTGCTTTACCCTAAGTTGAGGTTTAGTAGTATACTCAAGTTAGGTGTTGGGGCCTCCATGTTAAGAGTCATACATTAGTTTAGTGTTGAGCCACGTAATTCAGGTCCTGTAGTTCTAGGTGATGTGTTGAACTTTTTTTTTCTTTTCTGATGCCAAAACCTCCAGCTTAGATCCAGCAATCCATAGCTGCCCAACATTGATTTGTGATGGTTCAAAGTCCTCCATCTGACATGTTGCACGTCTTAGCTGAAGTCTTGAAACCCTACTTAAAGCAATGGACTTCTAGGTGAAATGATAGGATTCCTAGTTAAGTGTTGGGTCCCTAGTTCAGATGCTAGGATCCCTAGTTTAAGTGGTGGGTCCCAATTTAAGATGCCAGGATTCCTAGGTAGTGTTGGGTCCCTAGATAAAGCACTTGATCTCAAGTTGAAATGCTAAGCACTTAGGTAACGAATTCGGCCTGTAATTGAAATTTTGGACTCAAATACAGACTTTTGATTTCCTGGAGAACTCTAGCTAATGCACTGAACCAACAGATGAAAAACTGAGTTACCACTACTGAAGTAGTGTATACCCAAAACAAAGAGCTCCTAATTCAGGTCTGGTACCTTCAAGACTAGGTAATGAACTACTGTAAAACCCAAATACTCTACTCTCATAGTGACAAAAGGGGTTAAGCTGAATAAATATGTTGAGAGCCCTTAGGTGAGATGATGAACTATGTAAATTTGTTATTGGACACCGTCAATAAGACACCTGGTCGAAGAAATGGCTGCTGAGATTCAATGTCACGAAGTGTAAGAGGATGCACCTGGGGGCGTACCAACGGTAAGGAGGCGTATCATATGTCCCAACGGGATGAAGAAACTGCACTAGTTGAGACTGAGTGCGAGAAGGACCAAGGTGTGTATGTTGACAATGAGCGGAAGTTCTCGGGCCATTGCGAGAAGAAGGTAAATCAGGCAAATAAATTATTGGGTCTTATAAGAAGGTCGTTCAGATATCTAAACGGTCCGTCCCTCGTAACGATCTTCAAGAGTGAAGTGCTTCCCCAGCTGGAGTACTGTCACCAGACTGGTGCCTGCACTTCGGCACCTCAGCTACCCTGAGAGATTGGAGCGCCTGAACTTGCCTAGCTTATATTACAGACGGGCAAGGGGTGACCTAGTTGAGGTGTATAAGCATCTCAGGGGGCACTACTCAGTCGAGTGCCCTTACTTGGAGCTGGCGGACGCTCGCCCCACAAGGGGTCACAGCTCAAGATTGAAGAAGCAAGTCCAGAAAACTGAGAGGGCAAACTTTTTGGGAGTGAGAGTTGTGAACTCTTGGAACAATCTACCAGATTGTTGTGACGGCACCGAGTGTGAGCTCTTTCAAGACAAGACTTCACCAACACTGGAGCGGGATCAGGTACATTCAGGAGCCGGTGCATGCCCAGCATATGCCCAGTATTTGCCAACAGTGAGTGACAGAGACGTGACCGATCACCAGGGCGGCTAGTGAGCTGATCTTTTGGTGAAGAGGATAAATTAAAAGAAAAATTAATCAGAGACGTGACCGATCGCCCAAGCGGCTAACGAGGCGATCAGTGGCGAAGAGGATATAAGTAAAAGAGAAAGAGAACACCTGGAGGTGCTGGATTCGGAGTCCTTGGTGGTCACAGTATTCCCGTCCTTATCAGTGACCCGAGTCTCAAACCGCCGCGAACTGTTGCTGATTGTCTCCGCCCTGACTCATACCACACAAACCATCACAGTAAATTGTCATACAAGATCATTGATTTAACGTACACACAAGCAATTGTAAAAAGTCAATTAATACAACAAGGATAGCCACACACCACAGGGGGGGCAACAATTCAAATTAAATAAAGGGAATCATGGAGGAGTCCAAGTTATATGTGAAATTTAAGAAAGGTAATTCGTGTAGGGGTAGAGAGCCCACAGGGGAAGGAAAAACACCGCAGAATGCGAATCGCCATCATCATATTTCCGGTTTTAAACGTGTTTAGGAAATAATTAATTTTATAGAAATACACAATTAGCCATAACACAATAAATTAGCATTATACAATATGGGTTTAGTTTAGAATATAATATTTAATATGAATTAAAAAATACCAAAATAATAAGAGTAACAAATATCCAGACAATAAATTCATCACACAAATTACAAAAATGGAAGGGTATACACAAAAATATTCATGTTATTTATGTATACCAAAAACGTGATGATGTGAGCACACAACACAAACATCACAATATGGAGTCCACCAGAAAACACGTTGGGTAGACCAGTGTGACCGACCACCAAGGGAATGACAATGGTGTAGAGGGAGGTGGTGGGCGGGTCCCCAGTATCGGTGGAGGAGACACAAGCACCGTATCCCAGCCAAGTGTTCAACATCCAGGTGAAGCATTAATGCAGCGTGAGAAAGAAAAGGGAGAAGAGTTAGGTTAGTAAGTGAAAGGTTATTATACAAAGGTACAATATACAGTTCTAAAGATTAGCTCATAATTTCACATCAGATATTAAAATAATGGGCCAAGACTTACAGCCTGAACTTTTCATCCACCACACAAAGTACATGTGGGTGATAGTGCAGGCATGTATGGTGATAATATAGTTATAAAAACACTATTCGACTCTCAAATACTAAGCACCGAAACATCGTGTACAGCTTACCTACACATCAACTGTTCTGTGAATGACTAGACTTTTCCTACGGGTGAAATCCATAACTTCCCTTATGACTTGTGCTCGATATTGACTTACCACATCATGGTTCATGGTGATTGATGACAAAAAGATACACACAATATTCAACAATGTTTACGTGTTAGTGGAAAAAATAAATTAATTAAAAAGTCCCTTCTCGTCTACTGAAACCAGCCGGTGAAAGTTAACATCATATAAGTAATTAATGATAATCACACACACAGAGAGAAAGGTACTCTTTGGAATTCGTGTTTAACATCTTCAGAGTATTGGGCCGAAAGTTTCAGCATTACAATACAGTTCCAGATTGATCGTCAGTCTAGCAAGAAGCCTCGATGTTCCGGTTACAGTACTGGTTAAAATACAATATTCAGTTCGGTCGGTCACACATTCTCATTTAATACAAATATATATCATTAGCTGTCATTTTGAGAACAGTTTTACCACTTCTGCTAATTAATTAAAATTATCATGTGCTGCTAATGTGTTTCTCAATTCTAAATTTTATTTCGCAGTTCCCCTTGAAACAGCAAAAGAAACAAACTTCGTAAACAATAGTCTGAGGTGTGTGAGGCGAACTCTCCACCACATCGCCAAAGTTTGTCATTAAAAGTGTCCACAACAGAGAACACCTGAATACTTTTAGCAATGAATCGAATTCTCACAGGGTTTACGATGAATTTTCTTCATAAATGAAGATACAAGAATGTACCTTACTAGTTGACTGAAAAAAAAGTAAACCTGTTGCTTTTACACTGAAATAAATCATTAACTTTGCACCACTAATACCTTCACTATCTACAGAATTCTTCGCCTGGCTGTGGTTTTGGGTATATTAACTCTAAGTATCTTTACTTGTAGGGAAGCAATTAGAAGAGGGGTTGGGGAAGGGGGTGTTGCCATAAGTCGGTACAGGACGTGTCTCGGTTCAAGTCAGGCACGTTACCACCTCCGCCATGCACTGTACAGTTGCACACATCCTGGAGGCTACATCTGGGGACTGAGGAGGAGGATGGAAAAGGGCTGGGACGTGTGGAGACTGGCAGGCGCGGTATAGTCTGGCGAGTGATAGGTGAAGGCTGTGTAGATAAGGCAGGTGGGGGCTGTGTAAATAAGGAGGTCAAAGTAAATTTGGATAGCCGAGAGGGGATCACTGCTGAGGGAAAAAGTGTTGACTTTTCAACAGAAGGTCGATGATGTATAGTGTGAGTTCCTGGCAAGTAGTTATGGTGAGGAGGCCAGGGTAGTAGAGGCGCAGGGACTAGAGTAAAGGTTGGGGTCCTGGCTGCAGCACCAGTCACCCCGTAGCGGTGCCAACTGTCACCCGGCTTCCTCAAGCACTCCTCTCTAGTCAATAGCTTGTCGTTGATAAAAAAAAAGAAGTTGCTAAGGGTAGCAAACAGCTATCTTGGAATAAATATTGTATGTTGGCGTGATGTGAATATGTGTTTGATACATTGGGATAATTTAGAGGTATTTGATGCTTGTAACAGTGCTTACATAATCAAGTGTGTTCTGGAAGTATACTCTACAGTAGATGTTCGAAGTATGCGGGTGTCTCACCCGGGAAGTGAGGTAACGTGTCAAATTTCTGCCAATGTGCAACCTGAGCAAAAAGTTCTTTATACGAGCCTGTAGACAAAAGCATTAATGGAACTATTACACTTGTGGGTCAGCTGTCCACCACAGTGTAGAGTGTAGGTGTAGGGGGGGGGGGGCTGTGCCTAACACGGTTGGCGATGCCAAAAATCATGATAGGTGGAGGGCAGGAAATGCTGTGGTGTGCATCACTGACACTGAGCCACATTGTCTGGCATTACTCACAGCCTGCCCACAGAAGCACATTTCTCGGGCCTTCTTCCAGTGTCTTTAAGGCATTTAGTCTCGTATACTTCATTATCTTAAAGACTCCTAACACTATTGACTTACTGTTTTAAATAAGGACACAAGCACTGTACGAAACACTATTTGCTACAAATTTACTGCCTGATACTATATTAAAACTATCACAACTCAGCAGCTAATACCTTTACGTAGAATTAAAAATAATATTTAGTGGGCGGGAAGTATGGTGTAAACACTAGTAAATTTGGCATGGCGTCACATCTCGCTGGTGTGCCGCTCCACACTAAAACAACTCTCTCTCTCTCTCTCTCTCTCTCTCTCTCTCTCTCTCTCTCTCTCTCTCTCTCTCTCTCTCTCTCTCTCTCTCTCTCTCTCTCTCTCTCATCAGTGTTTCCTATAACCTGTACAGTCTGTGTTAACTCCATGTCTCCTTTTTGTACTGAAAGCTTTTGTTAAACATTCCACTCCCCATGTCATTATATCTATTACTAACGTCATTTTTTGTCTGCTATATATTTTCAGCCTCTGGTTGCTGTACTTTTCAATAAACCGTTAATTATTATTTTATTATTATTATCAAAGTTGTATCAGCAAATTAAGTCAAGATTAAAGCTAATTTAGATGAAAATTTATGTGATGGTCGCGGTTTTCTTTCATGCCCCGTTCTTTTTTGGGTACTTCTTACAATCTTGACCTCTGAGAAAACTAGAAGAAATAAAACCGCATTTCAGAACTTGCTGTATGCCACTGTCTGTATGCACAAACTTTATGTATTCACTGGATCAATGCGAACTTTTATGACGATATTTAAGGAAGAATTACCTCTCTATCCACCCGTCTAGCAACTCATCATCTATTTAACCGAACTGATATAAAACTTCCACAGCTCTAACTCCTGCAGTTCTTGATGTATCGACTATAACACATACAAACATAGAGACGTTTTAACATACTTGGCGAATTCTAAGACTTCACCAAGACGCACATACTGTACAAACACACGCAGCCTCTCACCACCACGCTCATAATATACCTGGCTTGGCAGCAGGCTTGGTCATGTAGATTTAATTATAAGTTCAGGTGTAGTGGCTACCTGACCACAGTGGTGTACGTGTCACGTCAGTGGTGGTGAGGGCCAGCGGTTGGCAGGATGAAGTGTCACGCCGGTGGTGACCTAGCACCTCTAATACCCTCCCTCACCTCTAAGTCATGCCCCTGTCTTTTAGTTCCCCATGAAGCCACCGCCCTCAAGCCTCCCACACTGTCTCTCTCCACACCCACAACGCCATCACTATCACCACCACCACTATCACCATCCCTAGATTCCACCACCACCAAACCACCAAAAGTCCTCCCACTTGTCAAACATCTCCTGCATGTCTCACTTCCGTAAGTTATTTTAAAGTCTTACTGTAGGTATAAGAAGCAGTTCCTCCTCGCATTCTCTCTCCCTCTTACCGCCTCTCAAATAGCTACTTATTATATACATTTAGATTTGCCCCACCCCCTAGTCTTTCTCCTATCCTTCCCACTCCACCATACGCGTCCATAACTCCCCAGCGTTATATAAGTGAGTATCCCCTTGGCTCTCCTTGATGACGTCTCTGTAACACTTTAACAACACCCTCCTCCCTAATCTCCTCGTACCCCGTGATAGGAGGAGGAGGAGGATGACATACTTCAGGTACCTGGTGGAATGTTCTCCTCGTAAAGCAAAACTCCTCCAATCTCTGTCTCTATAATACTCCTTCAATCTCTGTCACTATAATACTCCTTCAATCTCTCTCTATAATACTCCTTCAATCTCTCTCTCTATAATACTCCTTCAATCTCTGTCTCTATAATACTCCTTCAATCTCTGTCTCTATAATACTCCTTCAATCTCTCTCTCTATAATACTCCTTCAATCTCTCTCTCTATAATACTCCTTCAATCTCTCTCTCTATAATACTCCTTCAATCTCTCTCTCTATAATACTCCTTCAATCTCTGCTCTATAATACTCCTTCAATCTCACTTGCTATAATACCCAAATCTTCCGCTATAATGCTCCGTCAACCTCACAAACCTACACCTCCCCACCCACCGTCCTGAGTGACACACGGACGTTCTGCGAAAGCCTTACGTAACTCTCCCGTAAACTCACCCCCTGAACGCTTATCATGC